TCCCCACACCTAACCTTAACCCCCATGGAGATCCAGGCCGCCCCCCACGCCTGCACATAGCCCCCCTGGAGGTCCAGGCCTTCCCCACACCTAACCTTAACCCCCATGGGGATCCAGGCCCTCCCCACACCTAACCTTAACCCCCATGGAGATCCAGGCCTTCCCCACACCTAACCTTAACCCCCATGGGGATCCAGGCCTTCCCCACACCTAACCTTAACCCCCATGGAGATCCAGGCCGCCCCCACGCCTGCACATAGCCCCCCTGGAGGTCCAGGGCTTCCCCACACCTAACCTTAACCCCCATGGAGATCCAGGCCGCCCCCCACGCCTGCACATAGCCCCCCTGGAGGTCCAGGCCTTCCCCACACCTAACCTTAACCCCCATGGAGACCCAGGCCCTCCCCACACCTAACCTAAACCCCCATGGAGATCCAGGCCCTCCCCACACCTAACCTTAACCCCTACGGAGATCCAGGCCCTCCCCACACCTAACCTTAACCCCCATGGAGATCCAGGCCTTCCCCAAACCTAACCTTAACCCCCATGGAGATCCAGGCCGCCCCCACACCAGCACATAGCCCCCCTGGAGAACCAGGGCTTCCCCACACCTAACCTTAACCCCCATGGAGATCCAGGCCGCCCCCACGCCTGCACAGAGCCCCCCTGGAGATCCAGGCCGCCCCCCACGCCTGCACATAGCCCCCCTGGGGGTCCAGGCCTTCCCCACACCTAACCTTAACCCCCATGGAGATCCAGGCCGCCCCCACGCCAGCACATAGCCCCCCTGGAGAACCAGGGCTTCCCCACACCTAACCTTAACCCCCATGGGGATCCAGGCCTTCCCCACACCTAACCCTAACCCCCATGGAAGTCCGGGCCGACCCCACGCCTGCACAGAGCCCCCCTGGAGATCCAGGCCGCCCCCCACGCCTGCACATAGCCCCCCTGGGGGTCCAGGCCTTCCCCACACCTAACCTTAACCCCCATGGAGATCCAGGCCGCCCCCACGCCTGCACATAGCCCCCCTGGAGGTCCAGGCCTTCCCCACACCTAACCTTAACCCCCATGGAGATCCAGGCCGCCCCCCACGCCTGCACATAGCCCCCCTGGAGGTCCAGGCCTTCCCCACACCTAACCTTAACCCCCATGGGGATCCAGGCCCTCCCCACACCTAACCTTAACCCCCATGGAGATCCAGGCTGCCCCCCACGCCTGAACATAGCCCCCCTGGAGGTCCAGGCCTTCCCCACACCTAACCCTAACCCCCATGGAAGTCCAGGCCGCCCCCACGCCTGCACAGAGCCCCCCTGGAGATCCAGGCCGCCCCCCACGCCTGCACATAGCCCCCCTGGGGGTCCAGGCCTTCCCCACACCTAACCTTAACCCCCATGGAGATCCAGGCCGCCCCCACGCCTGCACATAGCCCCCCTGGAGGTCCAGGCCTTCCCCACACCTAACCTTAACCCCCATGGAGATCCAGGCCGACCCCCACGCCTGCACATAGCCCCCCTGGAGGTCCAGGCCTTCCCCACACCTAACCTTAACCCCCATGGGGATCCAGGCCCTCCCCACACCTAACCTTAACCCCCATGGAGATCCAGGCCCTCCCCACACCTAACCTTAACCCCTACGGAGATCCAGGCCCTCCCCACACCTAACCTTAACCCCCATGGAGATCCAGGCCTTCCCCACACCTAACCTTAACCCCCATGGGGATCCAGGCGTTCCCCACACCTAACCTTAACCCCCATGGAGATCCAGGCCGCCCCCACGCCTGCACATAGCCCCCCTGGAGGTCCAGGGCTTCCCCACACCTAACCTTAACCCCCATGGAGATCCAGGCCGCCCCCCACGCCTGCACATAGCCCCCCTGGAGGTCCAGGCCTTCCCCACACCTAACCTTAACCCCCATGGGGATCCAGGCCCTCCCCACACCTAACCTTAACCCCCATGGAGATCCAGGCCTTCCCCACACCTAACCTTAACCCCCATGGGGATCCAGGCGTTCCCCACACCTAACCTTAACCCCCATGGAGATCCAGGCCGCCCCCACGCCTGCACATAGCCCCCCTGGAGGTCCAGGGCTTCCCCACACCTAACCTTAACCCCCATGGAGATCCAGGCCGCCCCCCACGCCTGCACATAGCCCCCCTGGAGGTCCAGGCCTTCCCCACACCTAACCTTAACCCCCATGGAGACCCAGGCCCTCCCCACACCTAACCTTAACCCCCATGGAGATCCAGGCCCTCCCCACACCTAACCTTAACCCCTACGGAGATCCAGGCCCTCCCCACACCTAACCTTAACCCCCATGGAGATCCAGGCCGTCCCCACACCTAACCTTAACCCCCATGGGGATCCAGGCCTTCCCCACACCTAACCTTAACCCCCATGGAGATCCAGGCCGCCCCCACGCCTGCACATAGCCCCCCTGGAGTTCCAGGCCGTCCCCACACCTAACCTTAACCCCCATGGAGATCCAGGCCGCCCCCCACGCCTGCACATAGCCCCCCTGGAGGTCCAGGCCTTCCCCACACCTAACCTTAACCCCCATGGAGATCCAGGCCGCCCCCCACGCCTGCACATAGCCCCCCTGGAGGTCCAGGCCTTCCCCACACCTAACCTTAACCCCCATGGAGACCCAGGCCCTCCCCACACCTAACCTTAACCCCCATGGAGATCCAGGCCCTCCCCACACCTAACCTTAACCCCTACGGAGATCCAGGCCCTCCCCACACCTAACCTTAACCCCCATGGAGATCCAGGCCTTCCCCACACCTAACCTTAACCCCCATGGGGATCCAGGCCTTCCCCACACCTAACCTTAACCCCCATGGAGATCCAGGCCGCCCCCACGCCTGCACATAGCCCCCCCTGGAGGTCCAGGCCTTCCCCACACCTAACCCTAACCCCCATGGAGATCCAGGCCTTCCCCACACCTGCACATAGCCCCCCTGGAGATCCAGGCCGCCCCCCACGCCTGCACATAGCCCCCCTGGAGGTCCTGGGCTTCCCCACACCTAACCTTAACCCCCATGGAGGTCCAGGCCTTCCCCACACCTAACCATAACCCCCATAGAGATCCAGGCCGCCCCCCACGCCTGCACATAGCCCCCCTGGAGGTCCAGGCCTTCCCCACACCTAACCTTAACCCCCATGGAGATCCAGGCCGCCCCCACGCCTGCACATAGCCCCCCTGGAGGTCCAGGCCTTCCCCACACCTAACCTTAACCCCCATGGAGGTCCAGGCCTTCCCCACACCTAACCTTAACCCCCATAGAGATCCAGGCCTTCCCCACACCTAACCTTAACCCCCAAGGGATCCAGGCCTTCCCCACACCTAACCTTAACCCCCATGGAGATCCAGGCCTTCCCCACACCTAACCTTAACCCCCATGGAGATCCAGGCCCTCCCCACACCTAACCTTAACCCCTACGGAGATCCAGGCCCTCCCCACACCTAACCTTAACCCCCATGGAGATCCAGGCCTTCCCCACACCTAACCTTAACCCCCATGGGGATCCAGGCCTTCCCCACACCTAACCTTAACCCCCATGGAGATCCAGGCCACCCCCACGCCTGCACATAGCCCCCCTGGAGATCCAGGCCGCCCCCACGCCTGCACATAGCCCCCCTGGAGGTCCTGGGCTTCCCCATACCTAACCTTAGCCCCCATGGAGGTCCAGGCCTTCCCCACACCTAACCTTAACCGGCCTGGAGGTCCTGGTAGCCCCCACACATGAACATAGCCCCCCTGGAGAACCAGGCCTTTCCCACCCCTCAGCCTACAAATCAGCCTAAGTGTTTTGCCAAAAAACCTAAGTGTCTATGCTGTAGTACTGGGCTCGCTGTGGCCGAGTGGCAAAGGCGATGGAATGGGGAGTCATTGAGGTCCTCCCACGCAGGTTCGAATCCTGCCCACAGCACTTAGAATTATTTTCACATTTGCTTGGAGCACCAGGCCTGTGATGGCTCTATTTCAAGCCGTACTTCAGGGCTTTTTTCGGGGTTAAAACCTCCGAGGACCCCCCCTGGGTCTCAGGCTTTCCAGTGCTGCATTTATGTCCGGATTTCTAAGCTTTTTTCGGGGATAGAACCTCCACAGAATCCCCTCGGTTCTGGGACCCGCATGGCCCTATTTTAAGCCGGATTTAAGGGCTTTTTTCGGGGTTAAAACCTCCGAGGACCCCCCTGGGTCTCAGGCTTTCCAGTGCTGCATTTATGTCCGGATTTCTGTCCGGATTTCTAAGCTTTTTTCGGGGATAGAACCTCCACAGAATCCCCTCGGTTCTGGGACCCGCATGGCCCTATTTTAAGCCGGATTTAAGGGCTTTTTTCGGGGTTAAAACCTCCGAGGACCCCCCTGGGTCTCAGGCTTTCCAGTGCTGCATTTATGTCCGGATTTCTGTCCGGATTTCTAAGCTTTTTTCGGGGATAGAACCTCCACAGAATCCCCTCGGTTCTGGGACCCGCATGGCCCTATTTTAAGCCGGATTTAAGGGCTTTTTTCGGGGTTAAAACCTCCGAGGACCCCCCTGGGTCTCAGGCTTTCCAGTGCTGCATTTATGTCCGGATTTCTGTCCGGATTTCTAAGCTTTTTTCGGGGATAGAACCTCCACAGAATCCCCTCGGTTCTGGGACCCGCATGGCCCTATTTTAAGCCGGATTTAAGGGCTTTTTTCGGGGTTAAAACCTCCGAGGACCCCCCTGGGTCTCAGGCTTTCCAGTGCTGCATTTATGTCCGGATTTCTAAGCTTTTTTCGGGGATAGAACCTCCACAGAATCCCCCCGGTTCTGGGACCCGCATGGCCCTATTTTAAGCCGGATTTAAGGGCTTTTTTCGGGGTTAAAACCTCCAGGGACTCCCCTTGGTTCTGGGACCTGTCATTGCTCTTTTTCAAGACAAATTTCATGCGCTCTCTCCCGGGGAGAAATGCGCCCACCCTTATTCTTTTCCTTTTAGTCAATGGTGCAATTTTCGAACCAAATGGACGCCATGCATCACCTGAAGGAGCAGCTGGAGCAGAGGACGCGGGAGATCGAGGAGAATATTCACAGACAACAGGATGAGCTTCGACAAATCCAAAATGAGCTCCATAGAGTCCAGGGAAACAGCCTGCAGGTCTGTGCCACCACAAACTTAATGCTCTGTTGTAAAAATACACATTGTGCTTTTGTTTGAGCTATACGTTTGATATAAGACCTATTGTGAACGTGCTAAATCACAATAATGTTCTAATATTCATTCACACCCTGATGAATGTTAAACCCTGCTAAATCCTCGTCGCCTCTGTTTCAATTATCTGAAAAAAATTAATAGTTCCCATACCTATAATTTGTTTGTGCCTGTGATAATAATTGTTACTGTAAAGATTGTGACAATAAAGGGACATTACCAGAAAACAGTAGATCCTATCAATCAATCAATCAATCAAAGTTTATTTGTAGAGCGCCTTTCATACACAGGGCAACACAAAGCGCTTCACAGTCCACATCCTAGCAACGAGCAACGAGCAGAATCATTGTCATTTGTGCGAAACCCAGTCTTAAAAGTTGATTTGTCCATTTCAACTAAAGAAGGCTTTTATGTGCATTATGTTACAGATGTTCTTGCCGAAGGGAAGTGGAGGACTTAGCTCTTCCCACAATGTCATGCAGCAGGGTGGGGCACTGATCTCCCAGGCTCCTGTCGCCTCCCGGACTCCCCACAACATACAGCAACAGCTTTCAGTCCAGCCGCAGACACAGCAACAAGCTTTAAGCCAGGTGTTAAAAATATACCTACAAATGTCGGAAGAGCTCACAATTCCTACGCTTTGATATTATCAATCGATAGAAATTGTGTGCTCCTGTCTACAAGTTCTGTATTGGATGTACCTCCAGCTAATTTGAATGATATGTAAATGGTGTTTCAGCCTCAGTGAGCGTCTGCTTTCTCCTCAACAGAACTCTCTCTCTGCTCCACTCTACAACACCATGATGATTCCTCAGCAGAGTCCCGCCAACATGGTCCAGATCTCCACCAGTCTGGGTCAGAACACGGGACCATCGCCGTCTTGTGTGACCACTTTCGCACAAGATCGTAATGCTCAAATAAGGTCAATATCACTGTCAATGAGAAAACTTGAGAGGAGAAAGTTCTCGTGTTGCAATGTTGTTGTTGTAAGGCTGTTCAAGAAGAGATGACAATAACAAGACTCGACAACAATAGAAATGAATGAATTAAACTTTGATTGCCCTAAGAAGATTTTTCTTGTTGTAACAGAGCCAATATTTAGCCCCTTTTGGAGGTTATAACGTAATACCTATTATTAAAATAATACTAATAATAGAAATAATAATAATCATATTATAATCAACAATAATACAAAACTTTTCAAAAACTGTTTATTAAGTGCTGTAGAGCCAGCAGAAAACAAGTTTTTGTGTATATTACAGCGATTCCATATAATTATCCTTTGAAATATTTCCTCACAATTTTGTTGGATAATTTATCCACTGCAGGAGAAATGAGGATGAACAATTATGATCAAAATGACATCGTGTTTTATTTATCTTTTACTCTGCAGCACTTCTTATCAATAATAATCTTGAGAATAAACATGTGTTTTGTTTTTTCCGTCCTGGCAGGTTCTCAGCGTCTCCACAGCTGTTGACAAAGCTGGTGACGGGTCAGATGACGTGTGGTGCGGTGATGATGCCCACTATGTTTATGGGGCAGGTGGTCACGGCCTTCTCCCCTCAGCCCGGACAGACCCAGACCATCAACATCTCACAGCAGCAGCAACCGGAGCAGATCCAGCAGACACAAATCCAACCCATTCAGACGTCACAGGGAGCTCTGGGGCAGCAGCAGGCACAGTTCCTCCAGGTAAGTCTCCTGAAAGAATTTTAGAAATGAATTACACTGCATGAACCGACCAACATTGAATAATATCTCAAATAGTTCAAATCTACTGTAGATCTCATTGAGTATCTTTACTTAGCTGTAATAAACTTCCCTGGTTAAATGTAATAGATTCCAGTTAAATGGATAACTGGCCTCGTTAAATGTAATTTGAACTAGCAAGAAGTAGGGTTAGGGTTAGGGTCATGGTTAGTTAGGGTTAGTTAGTTAGTTATGTACGAGTGCCGATTGGGATGTAAAAAACCAGTCCAGTCCCCTGAGACAAGGCCAGCAGACGCATTTAAGAGCACAGGAAAAGTCCATGTGTATATTAATAACATACTGTAGACCACAGTAAACATGGTGTGTTTACTGGCTGCTGAAATTAAAAATCGTGCTGCGACTCCTTCAGTTGAGCATGCATTGATTAAGTATAACACAAAAATAAAATAAATCTTTAACTTAATAAAGAAGCATTGGATAAAATACCAAAGGCTCAAAGTAAACAAAATGTTGCGTGATTTTGCCAAAAGTGTGCTTACACAGTAAGAATGATGGCAGTTTTATTTACAATTACTCCTCCAAAGTTTGAGCTTAAAGCCAAAATTACGAGGCTCCGTCTTTGAAAGGGCCGCAAGGCTCATTCTGCTCTGCAGAGATTTTATTCAAATAACTGGAACTTCATTTGCAGACTCTTTGGTCTCGAAAACAACACACAAACACAATATGGTGGCAGAACCAAAAGCGGTTACCCAGTTTGAATATTATCTTTGTTCTTATGCTTTGAAAACATATTCCAGGTTAAAAAAAAAAAAAGAGGGCAAAGTAAAAAAAAGTATGCTTAAATGTGTAATATTTTGGGACGTTTTACAAAGTTCATGTCTTTTCTTCTAGGCTCCACGACTCCTTCACGGAAACCAGTCGACTCAATTGATCCTTCAAGCCTTCCCCCTGCAGCAGCAAAGCACTTTCAGTGGCTCCGGCCAACAGCAGCACCAACAGAAGCAGATGAAACCGTCAGGCCCTTATCGCACAGACAGCCTCTCGGACCGGGCCACTGCACGGCCTCAGTAGCTTCTCACAAACTCTCCGCTCATGGTGGAAAAGCTTCTCCATCTGAATTGGAAGTAGAGCTTTATATTGCCGGCTTAAAAAAAGGGTCAATTTTTGCTGGAATTTGGCAAACGTTCATCAGGATTTGAGTAAATTTAAAACAGGATTTACTAATATAAGTGATGGAAATTTGAAGTGTTATTTCAGAGACCATTGTTTCTGTCTTTCCAAGTGCGATATTGCTTTTTTTTGTCTTATAGCTTGAGTACCAACCTTGAAAATAATAAATGTGATAAAATCCTTCTAACTACTTCCTAGCACCTAAAACAGTTTGGTTCTAATACTCATTTTCACATGGAAATAGTGACTCTCAGGGCTTTAAAATGTGTTCAAATATGATAAAGACAAAATGTTAAGGTCTGATTTATTCACAAACTCAAATCAAGAAGACAACTTTTTTTTTCAAGTTCGCGTCGATTCAGTGAAGCTCGTACTGAGGACAATGGTTTTTTTTTTTTTACTGTTGATGTTTTTCATGAATATATTGGGACAAGAAATATTTTTAAGAATGTGGTGTAGATATATTGTACAGATCTTGGTGTTTAATATATATACATACTGTAAATATGTTGAAAAGAAACTAAATATTTTCTATTATGCATGTCATGTGAGTTGTAGTCACAAGGTTTGTTGTGATCTTTGACAATATGGTGTATATTTTAGAAGATCTCTTTTCTGCAGAGGGTGAATCTGTTGCAGGCAGTCCTAGTTGTTGTGTTTTCCCTTGGCCCGCTTTCCGTACAAACTATAAAACAGTCTATTTTTGAACTGATACATTTGCACATTAAAGAGACTAAACTGCGGCAAACTGTATTTAATCACAATAATCCTTCTAATACCTTTACCACAGGGGGGTCCAAAGTAGTTTAAGAGTTGCGACTAAACAGAATATTTAAAACGTAATAAGCAAAGTTATTATTTCAAATACATTACTTGCTGGATTGTAAGTTGCAGTTTTAGGTAATCAGTGGCAAATGTACATGTTTTAATTTGTCATTTTGTGTCCCCCTGGGGTAAGAGATTTGGACACAGTTCTAGCTACAGCTGTTGATCTCTAGAGCTGATGATGTGGCCCGCGGGGTTTATGTGAACAGCAGATACAGGGAAGTACGGGGAAATACCTAATACATGGGAAATACACAGGACCTGGCCATATGTGATTAGGACTAATATTATTTTGACTCGTAGTGTGGAATTAGATTGAACTGTAGTAGTTCAATTTAGCTAAGTTTAGACAGAGCCACCATATATGTAGGATCAATAACCTGCACTTTAACTGGGGTGCCTGATTTATAAGTAAGACATATATTCAGTTCTATGAGCTAAAAATTGATAACACCGTATGTGAGAAAGACCGCTAAATTGAGTTGGATTTGTAGCTTTGGTTTTGTGTGGCATCGTCTGCTATAATCTATATTTTTCTGTTCTGCTTTCAATGGCAGTGATTTTTGTTTGACATTACATTTATGCTCCGGTCAATATGGCTCCACGCTAAACCCCCAGACTCTGGTTACTCAGGCTTCAGACATGTGAGTGTGCTGCACCTGCACCAGTGTCGCTTTCATTGACCATCACAGAAGTTGTAGAAGCTTTTCTGAAGGAGTGTTTTTTCAAACTATCCTTACATTTGATATTGCTGGATAATGGTGGCAGTGTGGCATGTTCCAACCTTAAATTCTCCACTGTCCTCCCTCACAAAGAAATCAGAACTTACAGCTTTTCAGAATCTCTTTGTGGAAAGTGGACAAACATTTGAACCTTGCTTTTTGGGGTTGCGTTCTCTGCTTTGGCTCCTCTTCGCTCAATGTGTTGGGCCATAAATAATGTCTATTCTTCAGATACAATATTCTCTTAACTTTTATTTTACTTCCGTTAAAAATGAAAGTAACTAGAATCCCATAATTGTCCTTGATAATATGAACAAAATTAAATCTTGCCAGCGCCATCTGCTGTTCAGTCTCAACACCTGAATGTGGGTCTCCAATTACTTTCTGAAAATCTATGCTTTGTGGCGTGTATTTAAAGATTATGCTAACCATATGTTGCCTTTCATTTGTCGGTCAAACCATTGTATGAAAAATGACAAATACAAAAATATTTGTTTCATATTGGTTGAAAATAAACATTCAAATATTTGTGTTTGATTATAAAGAATAAGAGGCCTCAGACAATATTTCAACAGGTTTTATTGATTTGAATTTCACCCAACCATGAAAACGATCAGCAATTTCTGATTTACAACTACACAGCCGCGCTGACTGTCAAATATTGACAACACGGCCAAAGACTGATCCTTAAAAAAATATTTCACTTGTTACAATGACCACTCCCGTTAACAGTGACTTTCCTCAGAAGGAAGGGTAAATAAATAAAACCATCTTAAATACTGGCAGAAACATTGTTGATGGGAGAACAAAGGGCATATTTATGAATCATGACGCATTTGCAGTGGCGAGGAAGGCACAAAAACTTTACTTCATATCGAGTATTTTGCAAGTTCCGGGTTTGAAAACGTCTTTTCTCCATTGAGGAAATTGTGTTTTGCATAATAGGAGACGAGGATGGAAACTAACCCAAACAAGTTGATAAACACATCTGTATCTCTTACATAAAATAAAATTTACTTTGTAAGTATGTATGTTTCAGGCAAAATTATTTCCTTTTCATGAAGTCAAAGCAGCCACATCAGTAATCCTCCCAAATGGCTTTGAGTGTTATTTTGTTTTTAGACCAGGGTTATTATTACTATCCAAGCAGGAACACAAACCCTGCCTCAAGTGAGTTCAGTTTTTCTGCCTGAAGTCTTGATAAAAATGGGTGGAGTCTTGTGATGCTGCTTGGTTGGAATGAAAACCTGCAGCCACACTGGCCCTTTGAGGACAGTTGAGTAGCTCTGGTTCAGACTGTCTTAAAAATATATATCCATGGTTAAGTGATTGAAAAGACTTGAAAAATATTGTATAGTTTTGAGATATAAAACCAAACATAGTATCAGATATCAATGCAACTGGAGTGAGGTGTGAGGTTCAGCATAAAGAAGTAATTGCGCCTTCGCTGATCACTTAAATGTAGCACGCGGCGCCCCTTAGCGTCACGAAAGGAACATTACAAAGAGAAACTGGAAAACAGATCGATTTTCTTTCAAGTTAAAATCATAAAGGCAAAACAAGACTGGTAGAGAGTTTGACAGTAACAAACCAGATCAAAATGCATGTAGTTGGAAACGACTAGAGGTCAACAGTTGCCACCCATCCATGGTTTTACCCATCTATGGTTTTAGAACATCAAAAAACATGTTACATATCCCTATGCAGACATGTCAAGAAACCTATATTAATGTACATGGTGCTCTATTGTAGCAAATATATAGAACGACAGACAGAAAAGTAATCCATAATCACGTTTCATAACAAACATGAAATTAAAAAGGTCAGTTGTTATACCTTTGCCGATTGTACTGTACAAGTCAAGTTAGAACTACTACTTTCATGAACTTAAGAGATGGGTAGTCACTGTTGAGCCAACCCAATTTCCTATATAACTCAAAAGTATTTCTGCTGCTCGAAAGAGAAAAATACAAATACAAAAAGGTCCGTCCCTGGTAAATTCCACTGTTACAGACATTGGCTTCTGATCAGTCGGATTTATGTACAGGAAGATTAAAACAGCACAGCAGCTTACTCAAATGTTATGTACAGAGAGACCTGAATGAGTCTGATCGGCTCAGAGACTTGTATCCGGCTTGATGAACAGAGCAGAGAGGGCGAACGCCAAAAAGACAATTCCTCCAATGATGGTGACTGTGGACACAAGACAGCAGCCGTTAGTTGTTTGCCAACACACGCTGTTTTTCTTATGTCAACAGTATAAGACAAAAATTAGAAGATGGGATAATGTTAAGCCATAGATTCATTTGTCTGTTCTAGTGGGGTTTGTCAGCTGCACACAGGAGCTATGCCCAGACAGTGACCAAATGCTAAATCCTTAAAACAACTGGTTTTAACTAGCATTTTATGTGTTCTAGGGGTAAATATTAATTAAACTGCAATTTTTTTTCTGTGTGAATGATAATAATTCTGTATTTAATAATGCAACTACCACTTTGACCACACTTTTCTGGCCAGTGCTTTGATTTAAGTTAAGTTGTGAGCACTAACTTTTCCTAGTGAAATCTTTCAGCACCTGAGTGTGAGAAAATGGATGTGAAACAAATAACAGGAGTCGTGAAGCTTTAGAGATCGGACTACTAAAGACTACATATTTTTTATTTGTAGTGATTTAAGTTCACAAATTGTAGGGGAAACATTTGTGGGTTTGTTTTGTGTTGCTGTATAGAAAGTGTCCTGGATTCAAGGGCTCAAGTAGCAGAATTTCTACTTTGGCGTCTAACAAAATAACATTTGTGGGGCTGATGGACTAATGTGAGCAAACATTTATCAATTTAAGCCACTTTGTTCTTTACATTTTTAAAGGATGAATCAAGAAAAGGTGTCACACTTAACTGCTCTATCCTGAAGCTAAAAAATAAATTCAGGGGCCACAAAAACATGGATATGCAAGTAATAAGACAACCCTTGGAAATATTGTGCAGCATTAGGTGAACTTGCCTGTCCGAACTGAGATTTTCTGAGCAATCATTCTCCCTCCTATAACAGCCAGTCCAGTGCACAAACAGTGACCAAATGTGCCACCAACAGCCACACCAAAAGGGTCCTGTGTGTCACAAAGAGGTAAATTCATTGTTGACATGTCAGTTTCTTGCAAACGAAACGTGTTCAATATTGGATAAAAATGCCTTTTGTCGGCCTCATATTCCCCTCCGGTTATCCACGTATTAGGGGTTTGAAAGCACAATGAAGGCTGACTTGCTATGTGGCAACTACCATCTACAGCAGGGGGTTCAGACAAGTTCCAGAAACGGCCAGTGTGACTACAGGTTTTAGTTCCAACCTGAGCAGGAGCATGTGACTCCCATTCAGACACCCATTTCCTCAGAACAATTAAAACTTGCTTCACTTGAGGAAATTGGTGGAGTCTGGAGTGCTCCTGCTCAGGTTGGAACTAAAACCTGAAGCCACACTGGCCATTTGAGGAGCAGTTTGACACCCCCGCTAGAGTCTGGTAGTTTTCAGCCCAAGAGGCACTTTTAAAACGCACATTTTGTCCTTAAAATAAAGATAACAGTAATTTAAAAAAAGAATGTTATGTATATACAGCTATCACTGTGAAATCACCGATAACTGGTCATTTCCTAGTTTGCGACTTCCCGTTACTCACAATGGCAATACAAATAATTTGGATTCTGATATTCTTGGGTTTCATATGACGTCAGGGCAGAAGCGCTGTCAAAATGCCATTTTTTTGTACGGTGTACGCTTGTAGCAACCGCACAAATAGAGAGAAAGACAAGAGTTTCTTCCGTGTTCCAACTGTGGTCTCATATAAAAGGAGGACACTTTGAAAAAAATCACTCGAATGAGGCGGGCGAGGTGAATCAAGGCTTTCCCAGATAAGCGCCCCCTGCAGGCCACCCGAATGAAACACAACAATTTCTTCAGTGTTTTTTTTCCAAAAATGCCCGAAATCAAGACTCTTGAGAAATATTTTTTAGTACTTGAGTGTCCCCCTCTCGATTAATACTGTTACAACAACCGTACACCGCAGGAGGAGAGCCTTTTGACTCCAAAACAGACACGATTTACTTGGTTTTCAATGGGAGCAAAACAAAGTTGTCCCACCTCCACTCATTAGCCCCCTACTGGCCAGTTTAATGAAACCCAAGAATACAGTTATCATCACATTGCTGATTGGCTCCAAATAATAATAAAAATCGAATATTTTGTATGGGAATTGAAACTTCAGAAACCTGGATGCGAGTGTGCGTTTGCAGGTCTATACTGTATCTGAACAAACCTCCCGAGCTGCAAGGATGATGGTGGTCAGCTGGGAGCGGTCACCCCACTCTGCCAGAAAGGTGAGGGTGAAGGCCTGGATGAAGATCGGTGAAATGATGCTGTGCCATGATTTCTGAGGAAGTGTTGTCCCAGCCTCAACGTCTGGAGCCCCGTTCACAAGTTTCGAGCGCTGCAGCTGTTCACAGCAAATGAGACATAACTGGAATGTAGTTTTGCATAATTTCAATCTGTGTTTTGATCTAGTTTAGTTTCCTTCAGTTGCATGCAAAACATTTTGAATTGGAAAATGGTCCTCAAATGTTTTGTATACGCTATACATATGCTGGTAATTACACATTTGTACATGCATCGTGCGTGTGTGCGTAACTACAGAAATTGGGTTTTTTGACAAAATTTCACAAAAAAGTTATCCACAAAGTTTGGCTTTTTCCCTAGAACAAAAACCAAAACATATTTTACAAATTGTAATAGCCCCACACACGTCACAAGCCAGAAGCAACAGGAAAGAAATGTGCATACACTTATACACGTGCTATTAAACTAAAATATACTACCTACCTACCTACATACAAGATACATGATATATACACATCAGGCACATACAAGCCTACTTCAGTGGATATTTTATGGGACCTAAATGTTCTCGAGTCTCCTAAAATGCAAGACATTCTTTATCTAAATTTCAAATGACAGAGGGATGGGGACTTCCAACACGATAATATCCTTCGTCTAGCCAACGTCAGAAAAGCGATAAGGTCAGAAATAAGCCTTGGTAGGGCAACGGTTTCAGGTAAAACCCCAAAAGGGTCAGTTAAAGGTGGGAGGGACCACTCTATGAGCTTCGATAGTGTCGCGAAAACACAGATCCAAAAATGTCCAAGTGATGAGCATGACCAAAACATGTGAGTTAGATTTGCAGGTGTATATCTTTTTGTTTTGTTTTGTTCTTTTGTTGCCCATGTGTGTCGGTACAGTGCTTTCTGTATGGCGCAGAATGTTATATTTTTGTATGGCTCAAAAAAAGTTTTCTAATCTAACAATACAAATCTGGAAAAGTGTATGTACGGTCATAATTTCATTAAGGCTGTCACAATTATCGCGTTAACGCACATTAATTAATTTTTTTCATTACTCCTGATAAAAAATTAACGCTTTTAACGCATGTGCCAAATGACTGGCACCCCGCCAGTCAAAAATTAAAAATTAAAGCTGGGGTACCTAACTTTTCCTTTGCACTACCATTTCTTGTTGGTTGTGCCCAAAAGTAAAATGTGAGCAAATCAAACAGTTAATGACAGCCATTGGCTGACATGCATTTCAGACTTTTTTCAAATGTCCGTCATCTGTAACAAACAAGTTTGTAGAGGCACAATAATGAAGAGGATCCACAGCCTTTATGAGACAGAGAAAAAGAAGAAAGAGGAGGCTTTAACAGATGCGGAATATGTCGTGCTGAAAAAATAGTGTCTACTTCAGAAAGATAGAATGTTAATAATGTTAATGCCATTTTATATGGATTTATTGTTATAACAAACAAATACTGTACACTATGTTGGCATTTATCTTTCCATTCAAACAACCATTCACAGAAAAATATGGCATCATTTTTCCAACCGTTCAAAATGTGATCAATTACGATTAATTAAAGTTTAAGCTGTAATTAACTCGATTAGAAATTTTAATTGTTTGACAGCGCTAATTTTCATTTGAGCTCTGAACTAGTGGTAACCAAAAGCCTAAAATTAAAGTTTGTCCACTGCTTCCAAAATCTACATTCACACAACTGCTCTTTAGAGATGGCTCTCTTTCACAAGACGACATTTCTTTAAAAGCTCAATAACAAAGAGACTAGTACATAGAAAATGTATTTAAAGTGTCCTCTGATGTTTCTATTTTGCAGCTGGATAATGGGTGAACTTGAAGTGAAGAACTTTTTTTTTTTTTCAAAGTAGGTTGTACCTCCTCGTCCTTCTTCTTGATCTCTGCCTGCACCTCCTCCAGCTCCTCCTGACCCTCGTCTGGACTCATCTTCAGCCCCTCTCGCAGCATCCGAATACCGAAGATGGCGAACAAAGCCGTGGACACATAATAAGTGTAGATTCGAGGTATGATGGTGGTAGCATAACCAAAAAGCACTGTTGCAACAAAACATATGTATCAGAAGATTCTAAACTCCAGTTATCTTTGTGCACACAGTCCACTCACCAGACAGACAAGTCATAACCGCCAGAGCCAGCATGGCCCCTGTGAGCACAGTCAGGCGGTTATAACGCATAGCCATGATGGCGGCGATGAAAAACGTCTTGTCTCCCAACTCAGAGACGATGATAACAGAGAGTGAAGCCACAAAGGCATGGATGAAACCCAGGTTCCCTTTCTTTGTGTCATCTTCAGTGCTTACAGGGCCTATTGGGTGGACGGTTGGGACTTTCTGGAAAGTGGAAACAAACAAAAAATACATATTTTTTAACAATGTATTTTGAAGGCCTTTGTCTACTGAACAGCTCCTTGTTTGGAACATGCATCTGGACATAGCAGTTGTCTTTTCATGTTGTCAAGTCAAAACTGATCCGTAAACAGTTTTACTTGATCTGTGCCTCCTTGCTTATATCCAAAAGATTGATAGAAGAAGTTACACATTAAATAAAAGGTGTAAAAGTTTGAGGAGGAGATGCTGGTTCAGCATATTACTACAATGTGTAACCTTGCCATCTCTTGGCTAGGACTCACCCAAAAGAGCTTTTAACTTTAATGAGATTGTAAATTTCTCCATTGTGAGATCAATAAAATGTATCTTATCTTATTTTCCTGGTTAGATAACACGTAAAAAATATGATTTGTTGGAAAGGTTGGTATAGCATTTCTTGAGTATAAAACGGTAATTTACACGGTATAAACAAGTAAAGACAAAAAACCATAAATATTTACTTTCACTTCCACAATTAGTCAAGAGGAAATAATCTGTTTTTGTTGTTTTTATGTTTTAAATTGCACTCAAGACTTTAGGTTGACTGGTCAATAACTTACTCAATACTTAAAAAGGTATATAAAGGGATTTTCTACTTCCAGGTGGATCATCAAGACTATTGATTCCCCCAATTGTCATTCAGGTTAATCGTACTCGCCAAATAAGACCAGAGAGTGTAAGCTAGTTCAAAAAGTGGAGAGGGCGATTCCTTCCTAAAATTTTTGAAAATCCTCCTATATATCTTTAATGTATTCAACATCATTTTAAAGTAGCTAAGTCTCTTAATTATGCGATGTACTCTTTTAATCATGTATCAAAGCAATAACGGTACAAGAAATGCATCAAATACTGCAAAAGATCAATGAACGCATAATTACCGTTCAGACACTTTTCTTAGGCGATTACACCAAACAGGATATGATAACTAGCAGTCTATAGATAACAGTTAGCATAGTTAGCTTTAGGGTGAAGCAAGGGCAACATTTAATGGGCATTAACACCGGTTCTTCTACAGTTTATGCTAGTTAATCGTGTTCAAGTACCTGTTGTAGTAGTTGATCTTGAGCCGGTTTGTTTTCCTCGGGGATAGCGGAGACAGCGACCAAAAGCAGTGACACAACAGCGAAGAGAGCCCAGCAGCTAGCCCGTCCATCTCTGACAACAAGGGCGAACATAGTGGCTCCCAGACACGAGTCGAGGCGATTTCAAAGTCAAAAAGGTGTCAGGAATCGCATAATGTACCGGATCACTGGTGTTTGCAACTTCATAGCAGCATCGCGCACTTATTTGGGTGCAGTTTGTAAATACACGTCACTGTTGAGCTGCCCGAGCGAGTTAGCTGAAAAAGAGAAGCGCCGCGCGCGACTCATTGGTTCCCACGACGACGACGTAAGGCAACGTCACCAGCCACATGTCACTGAATTAAAGAAAAAGTAAAAAGATCAAATAAGAGATCTTTTATTCGTGCCACAGTGGGGAAATTAAAAAATGATAGATAATAAAACCGAGAAATAAGGAACAACGCCGCATGTTATATAATAAACCAGTATACCAAACTTTTTAAACAAAACATTGAATTTGGTTAAAACATTCATTTGGTTCTAATACCATCTGTACCATGATTCTAAAATGCATCTCCCTCCACGACAGTTCTTTAGAGCTTTTCCAGACTAAAAGAGAAGCCCATACTTATGGAAGACCATTGGCACCTTAATTCAATTGTCTATTCATTTGTCAAATGGCTATGCATTATGTTATTTTAGTATTTATTTTGTATTTGTATTTGTCAAAGTGTAATGTTATATCCAATTTTGACATTTAATGTTCTATTCCAAAAGTTCTAATGGCAATTCAATATGTAAAGTGTCGATACAATATCTTTATATATTGCAAATTACAAGATTTTGAAATGAATAGCATATTGACATGGAAATTTGGCCTCTTTATTCATTGTTCTATTCATTCTTAACATGGCATTTAGTTTAGAGTTGTATTTGGCAAAATTGCATGTTATATCCTATTTTTGACTTGTATTCCATGTTAAGTGTATGTTAAGTTTAATTTAATGTGTTGTGAAACAGCACCTCCCTCTGGATTGCATTGCATATTGCATATTGCCTTGCCACATGGTTTGAGTGCAAATTAATTCAATATGCTATGCAGTTCTTGACCCCTGGGAAGGCGGGCCCTGGTCCGCTCTCGGCCAATCAGAGACGAGTCTATATCCTCCTAGCTAGATGCGCTGTGTTGTTGATTTTTGCTGGAAGTAAATGCTGTTATGACGGATTGGAAGTAACAGATCACCCTTCATGAAGATTCCAAGTTACTCTAAGGAGGTTCTATGTAAGTATAGAAGTGTGTTTGTTAAAATACCAGTAGTCTTTTTTTTTTTTAGAAAACACTACTGGCTAGCCAGTTAAACGTCCAGAGCTAGTAGGCACAACTGGTATTATAACAAACACACTTCTATACTTACATAGAACCTCCTTAGAGTAACTTGGAATCTTCATGAAGGGTGATCTGTTACTTCCAATCCGTCATAACAGCATTTACTTCCAGCAAAAATCAACAACACAGCGCATCTAGCTAGGAGGATATAGACTCGTCTCTGATTGGCCGAGAGCGGACCAGGGCCCGCCTTCCCAGGGGTCAAGAACTGCATAGCACAGCCATTCCCAAACTCAGTAACACCGAGGCCCCCTTAAAAATCTGACGGGTCTGCGTGGCCCCCCAAAATAATAACCAAGAAGACAACATTAAGAATAGGCTCTTCTGGTTATTTTATTTTGGGGAAATAGCCTCTGCTACAAACATTGTAATACAAAAATGATTACAGTGGATTATTCAAGTCAAATAATGAACACAAATATTTTAATATTACAAACAAAACATTATAAATTTAACATTAAATAATTATATTATTTTTTTATTTTTTTTATGACCTCCCGCGGCCCCCCTGCAGTACCCTCGCGGCCCACCAGGGGGCCGCGGACCCCACTTTGGGAGACACTGGCATAGCATATTGAATTAATTTGCACTCAAACCATGTGGCAAGGCAATATGCAATATGCAATGCAATCCAGTGGGAGGTTCTGTTTCACAACACATTAAATGAAACTTAACATACTCAAATGTGGAATACAAGTCAAAATAGGATATAACATGCAATTTTGCCAAATACAACTCTAAACTAAATGCCATGTTAAGAATGAATAGAACAATGAATAAAGAGGCCAGAATTCCATGTCAATATGCTATTCATTTCAAAATCTTGTAATTTGAAATGTATAAAGACATTGTATCGACACTTTACATATTGAATTGCCATTAGAACTTTTGGAATAGAACATTAAATGTCAAAATTAGATATAACATTACACTTTGACAAATACAAAATAAATACTAAAATAACATAATGCATAGCCATTTGACAAATGAATAGACAATTGAATTAAGGTGCCAATAGTCTTCCATACATACTCGACCGATCCAAACACCCAACCCCAAAGAGTCAAATAGTGATTCACAGTATAAATGTAAGTATGTGTATGCAAGTATGCAAACTATAATTCTTTAATATTTAGACACATAGTGGAATATAGACCAAAACGTTTGAATGAATGACTCAAAAAATCCCTCACGGATACAAGCATATATGCAAGGCAAATGTATTTGTATAGCACAGTTCATAGACAAGACCACTCAAAGTGCTTTGCAAATCAAAGTTTACAATCACACAAGAAATATTAAAAACATAAATAGGGAAATTAGACCACTTGACCAGGCCAAGAGTCTGAAAAACCCCAACTCCAGCATTGTAAAAAATTGAAACAAACACTTGGATGATGCAGACATCTGTAAGAAGTATGATGAACTTACAATAAAAAGGGTATAAAAGCTTTTCTTCGTTTTGGGTATGACTCAAATTTGTTCACGTAAAGGTCATGACAGAGCTGAGCGGCCAGAGCTTGGTTGAAAAATACATAAAGAGAAACTAGCCACCATGTAAATACTCCTTCTGAGACTGTGCAAAGTGAGATGTAAATTAGAAGCTCAGCAAAATAATGTGGACAAGACACTAGTTCAAACACACCACCCCTGGGCATCTTATGGGCCATAGTCACAACATCTCCTGTGGAAGATCAGAAAACCTCTTTTAATATTGGTGATACACTTGAGAGTTGTGATATACTTTGAGAATGTTAGATGAGACGAATGGCGAACCTGATTTTCCAGTGCGGAGATTTGCCAGCAGGACCAGGGATTGATGCTGTAGCACTGAAGCTGAAACAAAAACTCCACATCCTGCTAGGTGATAGCAGTTCACTTGTGAGAACAATCTTCGACTATCTGAAATGATAAAACACCAATTAGAAAGAACAGAAAAGGGACAGAAAATAATAATATTGATAATTGTAAGATAATCTTACCTCGTTGTGCAATATGCTCAAAGGAAAATGCTGTCAGCCCAAGCACAATGTAAAAACATAGGCCAAAGATATACTGTACAACATGAATGACTCCATCTGAGAAGACACTGACAAAATGGCACTCAAGCAGTCTCCTGACAGAGTGAACCCAAAGCATGAGGAGCAGCAGCAACGTGGTCATCTGTGGGACTGGAAAGGGCAGCCAATAAAATAAGGGAATTATTTTAATGGATTAAAAATGCATAGTATACAAATATGTACATTTCTTTTTAATATAATCTTATCTGAGAGACTAAACAATAATAAAACAAACGTAGTAATACAAGTAGAATTGTGTGATTGGTTAATAAACACAAAGAAATACTTAAGATCTAAAGCTAAGATCTTGATTGAAGAATAATTTCAGAAATATTCTTGGCACGTCAGTCCAATGTAAAACAAATATTTTTTGTGAAGGTTTTTGATGTTGTTAATAACTCATATTTATTATAGTTGCTTGATTTCCCAAAACCATTTACATACAACACAAAACATGTTATTAACGTTCTACAGCTTACCATCCCGTTCTGATTCAGTGCTGTGTTTTCCACCAATTAAAACGGACAAAAACCAAGTCAGGAATGATGGAAGTGGATGATGCTGGAGGATGCTGTTGACATAAAAGAAGAGCAGAGAACCACTCCAAAAGGCAGACACTGCGTAGAAATGCCAGAACCACCTGCAATGTCAAGACATAAGGCGTTTCTTTTAATAGATCTGCGTGGGAACAAGACATGTGTCTCTGAATACCTCTTTGGCACGTCGAACACACGCAGCCACTCCGCACGGCTGCGGTCCTGCTTAGTCTTTCCGTAGCGAATAAGATCTTGAAATACAACAAACCAAACCGAATATTTGAAGTTTTTTGATAGACGCGATGAGGCCTTGTACAAAACAAAAGCTACGGTAAAACAAAAGGCAAGAAATGCCCAGAGCAACTCTATGTAACTGTATGTAAAAAGGTAGCTCAAAAGCATTTTCACTCATACGGGGAGATGTTTTGAGCATCACACGAACGTCCGTGTAGAATCAAGAAACAAATCCAACAACTAAACGTTCCGGCCTTCTTCGTGTTCCGGTCAGAGTAAAGTTGCTGCCCCCCACTCATGGATCTATTATAATAACCCCCACCATGGGTCTATTTTAATATAAGAATCACCGACTGAACCCTAATGCTAATGAACCCCTTCCACCATGGCTAAAAGTCACTGTGTGATCTCCAAAATGGTACGTGTTTGAAATAAACCGTACAAGGTCCCTCAAAACATCCAACCAGTCTAATTTCTTGTGATATAGTTTGAGGATGACACCAGTTCATATATTTTAATATTCAGGGGACATTGTTTTACCCTAACCCACCTATCCTAAAGTGCATAGGCTAGTAAGATAAATGTTCCTATAGGTTTATAGCTAATTTCCTTCCTGGGACATTAAAGTATTTAATATTACTTGAATTTTTGTTGCAATTACCACATTTGTGGCTGCTCGCCACTGCTTTTGATACATTATATTACTTATTACATTATATTTATTTTCAGTCCTGACATCTTATGTTGCAACTTGCCCTTTGTCCCACTTCTTTCTAATCTTCCATTTTTTCATAGATGACACATGAACAGTGCTAAAGTGATCTGTTTTCAGGGTTCAAATTAACAGTTTGAGTTTGTCACTCTTGGTGGAGCTCATGCCGCAGATTCCAGGATTCAGCTCGGTATCCTGTCTGAGGAAGTTCTGCTTCCTCTTCCCTCCCAGATTCTTTTGTGTCGTCTTCTGTTTTATTGTGCCAATGTTTGACAACACCAGCAGGCTCTTTGCACATAGAACCAAGACTCTGCTTTGTTCAGACAATTTCAAATACATGTGTGATGAAGTGCATCATATTTCAAGAAATCACATTTCTATTGATCGCTGTAAATGGAACTGCTTCAAATTAATCAATCCATAATTTTCCTCCCTTATGTAACTTAATGTGTGTTGACAGTGAGGTGGATCCCCGCCTTTCCAAACCCTTTTTTGAATTTCCTTATGTGGGACACAGTGATTGTAGGTCTATGGTTCCAAACCTTATCTGACTATAGTACCCCATGTGCCAAACAGGTGTGTTTTCTGGTTGCCCGTGTTCTGTTGACTCCTCCTTTATCACAAAATAGAATTAAACATGAATCTAAGTTCCAAGTATCCTGGAAACTAAAATGTTTCAATACTCTATTGAAACCAAGAGCACACGCTCTCTTAAGAATAACGGGATAAACATTACACATTAAAGTCATAAAAGTTCCAAAGTTTTATTTTTTGTTTTGAAATATAACTCCTCAGAGTTAATATTGTGTGCAGTGCCCTCCAGGAAGTGTTGATGCGGTGGATGATGGACAGAATCCCTACAGAAGTGACCTGGTCAGGAAACAGGTGGAAATGTACTGTACACTGCCCAGTTAGTGTCCCAAACCCCAGAAACCAGACTTTTCCATTTGTCAAAATCTTGATGGCTTGCCTACTGTCATATATAATTTTTTTCTTTCACTAAGCTTCACTAAGCTTTACATTTATAATATCCTAGACAAACTGACTTTCCTTTAAAACACACTTAAAACACAAAATGAATTAAAACATGACATAAAAAGCAATAAAAAACAGTAATCTTAAAAGTTGCCTGTAGTGAAAAGATAACAGCATTTTACCACAATAATTCATTAATGTGTTTTTTAAATAGTTCATTTTATGTTTTAAATAGCCTATTGTTTCCTGATTCATCCTAAAACTCCACTGTTGTGAGTTGGCAGGTTTCCACTCCAGCTCGGCCTGGCCCCTCCTCTGCACGCTCGGTGGTCCTCAGCCTCATCAGAGCCACACATCACTGGACTTCACTGGACACGAAGGACCTCATTTGGAAAGCTACCAATTTACCATCACGCACAGAACCCCCACATATTACTTTGTCAATGGATTTTCTAAAGAGCATGCATCTTTGATTAGCGTTGAATGATTTGACTTTTGGATGATGGATTCAGCAGCGTTGATTTGTCTACTACTTGGGATTCTTTCACAGGGAAGCTATGTCTCAGGTGAGGAAATTAAAACACATGTATATTTTCCTCCCATTATTCCACTGTAATTGTTAATTTTACAAGGCTATACCTGCTTAACCCCTTAATGTTCACTCCTTGAAGAAAGCAATGTGAATTTTTCTTTTGTGGATTTTCTAAGATGTAGGACTAATGTAAGACTAAAAACAAAAACAAAAAAGTTTTTTGTTTGTTTAATCCATAGTTTTTTTTTTATTATTATAGGCCTTTACCAAATAGTTGTGATGCAGTTTGATTGTAAAAGTGTCGAAAACTAAGTGAGATGAGGTATAATTCAGTTCCAAGCACTCAAAAAGTGATCTACCAAATGCTTGAGGAAACCATATAAGGGTTAAATTAATCTAAAGTTAGCAATAGATTTGTAGAAGCATTTTGAACAATCCATCCATTGCCACACTCCTTACTTTTATTAATGCATTTCCTTCGATATTTCAACTGTAGAATGTTATTGATTACTTCACACTGAACACTTTCAATTAATTGCTTTAGATAAAACTATCACGATGATTGGTTTAGCGAGTTGAGGTCAGCGTGACTTGTTTGGATGTCTGTACAATGCTTAAGGCCTCTTGAGGGGGAGGTGGAAACAGGAACCCCACCTAAGGCCACTCAGTCCTGGGCTATTGAGTCCAGACCAAGGCCTATCTGCCCCGGCTTCCTGTTTTGACACAACTAAACGGCCATTTTCTGCACTGTTGGAAAAATGGTGCCGGTAAAAAACAAAAGCACTCAGCTCCATATCTAATCTAATCTGGTCTTGGTTTTGTTTTTACCCTATTCTTATTTCACTATGTTGGTTTCGTGCCCTCTTTTAGATGTGTGGACCTGGATTTTTTATATTAATCATTGGTCAGATACATCTAACTGACAAAATAACCTTTAAAAACTATACAACTTTTCTGGTGAACGGTTTGGCATTTGCCCATCTGTGGTGAGGAAAGGTTTGTATAAGTATTAGGGCTGTCCAAAATAGCGCGTTATTAACGCGTTAACGCAAATCAATATTAACGCCGTCATTTTTTTTATCGCGCGATAAAAAAAAAAAAAAAAAAAAAAAAATTTTTTTTTTTTTTTTTTTTTTTTTTTTTTTTTTACTTTTTATTGCAGACAAACACATAGAAACAAAGAAAAGGACTAGTTCAGATACATTGTAGACAGAGATTACAAACAATATGTAGTTGGAGATACAGGGGGCCAAAGAAGAAACCCAGAAGGGCACATAGGAGGGGAGGGACATGAAGTGGGAGATGGGGGGAGGGGTTAATAAAAAAGGCAATACAAGCAAACAGTATACAGTCATAGATATACCGAAGGTAAACAGAGAAACAGCATAGAGTATTTACATGAACAAATTTACAAAATATTTACAGATTGTTTATCATCATCATAATGACACCATGATGTTTCTATACAGTCTATGGTCTATACCCACACATACACACACACACCCACACACACACATTGAAGGGGCTTTTTGTTACCAATTATTTATTTTGTCATCCATTTATTGATGATTTTGCATCAAATGTTAGTGTGTAATATAACACTACACATTGTTTTCAATAAAAAAAGCAATTGCACACAGCACGCAAATGTGTGACTAATTTGCGATTAATCGAGAGTTAACTATGAAATTCATGCGATTAATTGCGATTAAATATTTTAATCGTTGGACAGCACTAATAAGTATTATACCATGCAATCAAAAAGTATCTCCATAATACCAAGCAGGTGCTGGACTTCATTATTAACGTTTCATATTGGAAAAGTATGTTTTAAAATATCAAATGTGTGTGTTTTTTCCCAGCTCTTGATCTCCGGTTTAGGCCTGATCCACCAACGTTGAACATCTATGGCGTCCACACAATCAACAAAACTGAGAACCTAGAACTCATCTGCAGGTACAGTAGTATCCACTGGACTTGAGTTTTTAAAAAGCAGTGTGTCTCAAAAAGGTTGTGTTGTTGAAACAGTAACAACTATTGTGAAGGCAAGAAATATGTTGGTTTGAAGTTCCAATAAGAATATGTACCCAGCATAATGACGTGTGTGTGTGTTCATTGTAAAATTGTTTGTCTTTCAAAATGTTTTCAAGTCAGGTGCAGAGTTTTGATAGCTGTTCTATATTTAGCCGATAATGGACTGGATAAATGAATATACATACATTTGCGTATAAAAATGTACTTGCAGAGTGTTGTAAAGACCAATGTACGCCCAGTGAATTCAAGACAACTAAATTCAACTTAATACCAATTTATTTGTCTTTCTTTGTCCAGGGGGCGCCAGTACCTAAAATGGAGCATGCCCATAATAAGCGGGAGGTTCTCCGTGAGTGACTGCAGTGGAGCAGGATTCTTCTGCTCCTCGCTGCTAATCACAAACGCTACAGCCAATGAAACGGGCTCGTACCTCTGCTCCTACAAGGACATGAAAGCAGAGGAGGGAAAAACCTCAGCTTCACTTTATGTTTTTGTACAGGGTTAGTTAAATTACCTTACCTTTATTAAAGTGAGTATATGAGGCCTCTAGAGGAAAATCAAAGTGGATATTTATAGTAGTATGTGCTTATACACTAGATTAGATTAGATTTGACTGATAATTGACTTGGCAAGAAACATTCCATGCTAATCCTGAACAGTGGATTAGTTTTCTACATAACTCATGTTTTGACACATGAGCAATATTCATTCACTACTAATGTAGCACGATTGCCCTGGGGTAGCCTGACAGAAGCGATGGTGCAGCCAGGCTACCCCTTGACGAGGGCCCTCTGATAACCACCAGTCACACACGAATTTTCCAGATTCATATAAGGGAGTGTTTAATTAAGAATCCAACTTAAGGACAGAACAATTCATTAATACTTTAGAGCCTCAGCTGGTCTTCCATCCTGAGAACCAGGCTACACACTGCTTAGCTTCTGAGATCAGCCTTTAGCAAGCAGGTATGACCATATTGAGGCTAGTTCACTAGTTGAGCCATTTCGTGCTTCATTTGGGATATTATACGGCATTAAAGGAGTCGTAATTTTCACAGTGTACGTGTGGTGTCTTTCAGATTACAAAATGCCGTTCGTTCCCTCGGAAAAGGATTACGAGGTGGTGTATATTCAAGAAGGAGTGAAAGTGATCATCCCGTGTCGAGGCTCAGTAGAGAATCTCAACGTTACACTTCATACTGTAAGCAGAAACTTCTGATACATACAATTATTGAATGAGCTTTTAATGATGCTCCACACATGTGCTTATTCATGCTGTGTCACTTATAATAGAAGTGAATTTATATCATTTTAGAATCTTCTAGATAGGACAAAAATATGTTAATTTCTTAATAAAATATCAAAGTACAAAGAAACATGACTGGTTGCTAATCATTTTCTATCACAGCTAAAAAAATATAAAACTGTTAAGAGTGTTTTATAAAAAAAGAAGTTCCATGTTAAAATTGTATTAACTGTTCTTTGTGTCAGAAGTATCCCAATAAGGAGCTTTATCTGGATGGGAAAGAGTCGGAGTGGGATGCTCAGAGAGGGTTCACTGTTCCCAGTCATCTGGTCAGCTACGCCGGGGTCGTCTTCTGTCAAACACGCATCGGCAACGAGACCTTCAAGTCTCCAGTGTACATCGTAGCAGTTGTTGGTATGTAGTTGTTTCTATTGTTTTAAGAATTATCATTTATTTATTTGATGTGCCCAACAGTTACATTGGACCGACCAGATGCACTGCCTTTAGTGTTATAGCAAGACCATGCTAATGTTCAACACTTCTCCTTAGGAGGCTTTTAGGACATTATTTTACACATGGGAACTTTTAGACTATTTAATTCAACCCTTGAGAGGCACAGCCAGCTTTATATAAACAGAGATATGTACCACACATACCACAATTTCAGCACATGACAGCAAACAACAAAGTGTAATGGTAGTGATAGTGTATATCGTCTCTGTTATATCATAGATTTTTGTTCAGTTTCAGTTTCAGAGTAGCTACTTGATAAATGTGTATAAAGTCACATACATACAGTATGTAGGAGCTGAGCACAACCAACTTTGAGTTTAAATGCTATTAATCAACATTTAGTTTAATGTTTAGTTTAAACTCAATGTCGTTTTGATACAGTGCCAAAGTGTTATTTTTGACTTTCTTAAAACAATTTTTGCCACAGACAAAAGCCAAAATGTCTTGGTTTAAAAGGGAAACATTTCCATTAGAGTGAGATAAACATGCACTTGACATAAGACAAGACAGTGAAAATCTTATATCTTATCTTATAGTCTTATAAATGATCAATTAAATACATTTGCAGTTATTATCCTTTTGATCAATGATTATATGTCTATTACTAACAGTTTTTTAACCTCATAAGAAAATCTGCTTTCCTCTGCTGCATTCTGTATAGCAGTAGTTTGTGGCTGTGTGTACTCCTGGTGGAACAATAGTCCTGTGATGCTGCTCCTCCCTCTGGTTTCCTCAGGATATAAGATCTATGATCTGACGCTGAGTCCGGCCCAGCTCCGGCTCGCTGTGGGGGAGCGCCTGATGCTCAACTGCTCTGCCTCCACTGAGCTCAACGTGGGCATAGAGTTCAACTGGACCCACTCCGGACAAGCCCTGGTCTGTGCCAAATGCTTTATAACCTCATCTGAACTATTGCTCCTCTCTTTGTTTATTGTCAGATGTTTCTGCATTTAACACTGGGGCACCCCTAACCATAAAAAGTGTATGTAACTATATTTCAGAACCTTTTGATCCTCTGTCTCAGATATAAAAGAGAACAAAGAGGACCATCCTCACTCAACCAATCAGCTCTCTGGTCTCATGGTCTAAGTTGTTCACAAAAAACTAGAGACTTCTGTTGTTGGAACAGAATAATATATTATGAATATATACTTTAAGTATGGCCAGCATGTGATTTTCTATTAGACAAGACAGCATGGTGTGTTGTCGTTTGACTTTTATGAGACAAACATGTGTTATTTATAAAAGAAAAAAACTATTTGAGGCTTTGGGCTGAAAGCTTATGTTTTTTTTCACTTTTTTCACTTCTGTCTGAAATAAATGATCTAAAGATGTGACAGAGTCCAAAAAACCAATGCTCTTGAAAGCTGGTGACAGAACCCAGCTGTTTTAGAGAGAGTAGTACATTGTGGTTTCAAAAGTTAGGTTCCCCAAGTATTTTTTATGCATGCCTTAATTTTCGAGTGTGAAGTCATTATATTCCATTTTATTTGTAGACATCTGAAAATGCGTCTAAAGTGATCCACACGACTCCTCGTAAGAAGAAGCTGTGGAATTCGCTGGAGCTGTCGAACACTCTGACCGTGGAGGATGTGAGCGTGCAGCACAGCGGCGAGTATACCTGCTCTGCCTCCAGCGGCCGCATGAAGAAGAACGCCACGGCGATACTCGTAGTCTACGGTAGGAAACAGAACAATTCAGAACTGTAGACGTTTCAACTGTAGAAGGAGTGGACTAATCAAGCAAACAGTTGTAAAGCGCTTTGTGATTCTGGTCTGTGAAAGGCGCTATATAAATAAAGATTACTTACTTACCGATTAGAGCTAAGTCGTACAGGCTCCATGAGGGAATCTGGAGACAAATGCTTTGGTAGCAACAGCCTAGCGACCAAAGAGCCAATCAGGAGTCATGCTGGTTTGTTCCTAGCGCACTGGTCATGTTGTGTTCGCTCTACAGCTGTTCTCAAAGTCACTGGAGCAGTACATGATCTGGCTCTTTCTGACCTGGGCTGTTTCATTTTCAAATCCAAAATGCGAATCCAAATGCACCTATGGCCACTCCGCCAGTGTTGGCAACGAGAAAGAGAGGGCAAGCAACGCAACAGATTAGATTTGGAAGTTCAATACCATAGAGCTTTGCGAGTCCCATAACCATAAGTTAGAGTCAAGTCTCAAGGGGATGAGTCTGAGCTATTTTTAGAAGTCTAAAAATAGCCAATTGGCCAATCTCTGGTATGTCACCTCTTCATACTTTCCTGTATTGTGGAGTGATATGAGGAGCATCATTGAAAGAACATCGAAGGATTGTATCTCTATTTTTAATGCACTTGATTTTAAAGTAGCACGTGATTTTAAAGTAGCAATATGTAAGATTATCATGTCAAGTCATCATTAAATGGCCTTAATCTGTCAAAAGGCATTAGTAAACCATGCTCTTTTCAGAACAGTAGTCCAGCCGAGATATTTGAATTTAAAAATTAGTTTTACAGCCCCTAAATCTTGTTTCTATGTCTCGCCCTCCACTGTTTTACCAATCAGAAAGTCTGTGATCCGGGTTGCCAGAACTCACCGTGTCGAGCTAATCTTACTGGTAACGTACCATGTGGCAGCAGAACTTAAAAAGGCCGAAAAAGGTGTTGGTTATAGATTTGTTGTTGACAAAACTCTTTATTCAGATATTATGGTCCCAGCTGGATTAGTCTGCATATCTTGCGACCTGAGTCAGGGAGAGTGATTGATTAATTTAGCTTGCACCCAAAGCTAAATAGTGTGTAAGGGCTGCGTGATCACTTCAATTAGTTTGCTTTGTCCTTTATTTTGATTCACACAATAAATGATGAAAAACAATGCATTTTCAGAGAAACCTTTTATTGAGATGAAGGGACCATGGACGAGCGTCTGGGAGGTGAACGTTGGTGACAAGATGCCCATCGTAATCCCAATCAAATACACTGCCTATCCTGAACCTAACATTAAATGGTAAGACAAATCAGAAAATGAGGATTTATCGATGATTCACTTAGTACAGAAGTGGTCGACATGACTATTTTGTGTCTTTGTTTAGGCTTAAAAATGGACACACTTTCGACGACTACAGGATCAAACAAAAGAGTGATGCGCTGGTCATTCGAGAAGTGAAAGATATGGATGCTGGGAATTACACCATGATCCTGACCAATAAGATCACGAAAGAGGAACAGAGGCGGGCCTTTCAACTATTGGTCAATGGTACACTATGGGATTCTTGTTATATTTGTTATGGCTTCTTAGCTGGCTTCTTTTTGTATGGGAAGTCCACCTCCACTATTTACACAACATACATACTTGTTCACAGTTTAAAGTTCTTTTTTGTCTTCTGTATTCCAGTGCCTCCTCACATAATTGAGAAGGAGGTTGCCGAAGACTCAGATGTTTACCCGTTTGGCGGCAGTCCTACTCTTTGGTGCACGGTGCGTGGCGTCCCGATTCCAGCTCAGGTCCAGTGGCAGTGGATGCCCCTCGAGGACTGCCCTGGGGACTTCTCGTAAGTTGATTAAAAACACCTGAAAAATAAACAAACAAAATAACTTAGCTTTGTCCTCTGTTTGGGCTCAAATCTATGGAAGCCCGTTTCCAACATGTGAACAAAAAAAAGAAAAAAAAAGCTCAACAGAAACCATTCTAATAGTTTAGTTTGTTTATGCTCAAAGCTTGCTTCACTCTTCAAGTCCGTAAACATCTGAAAACTGATTATTTCTGTGCATAAATATTGGTAACAGGGTCTGGACTTAAAACACCTCTGTCAATATCGTGTTGACTTGCAGAAAACAACAGCTTTCGTGACGTTAACCAAAATACTTTAGGGGACTTACAATGGCCTGATTCAGATCAGCGGACATAGGTCACTCACCACAATGTTAGTTTTAGAAACATTACGTATTCAGTGTATTCTTGCTGTCCCAAGTAAGAATGCCGATTTTTTGGAGAATTTCCTGATGCAACAAAAACAAAGCAACCGCTCAAAACGTTTCGACTGTAAATATTGTTCCTGTGACCAGCCACTCACGTACTACATTTCTAAATATAGACCTGGACTGGAGAGCAGTAGAGGCACTGACACTGCACCAGTACAATTTACCTGTGATTCTGATATACAATTCAATTAAACACATGTATTTAATAAATGTAAATCTATTTTTTTAACCAGAATTTTTTTTGGGGATTAAAACTCAATACATGCAGCTTATTTACACTTTTCTTTCAATGTTGTAAAAATCTGAATCAGTTGTCTTTGATGCAACCACCAAGACCAAGGATTCCACAAAAATAGACATGAACGGCACAGACTCAGTGTGGATCCGTGTTTAGACGCTGAGACTGGGTCCCTGGGTCTGGGTCCTTATCTCCTCCCTGCACATCTCAGGACTTCCTCTGTCCTCCAGTTTCCTGTTGTTACGTGGTGCTGCCTGCAAAACAGCTTTGTCTTGCTAAATCTTAAATATTAAGGACGATTGGCTTGCAGTGGATAAATATTATGGATAGAGATGTATCAATATATTGATATCCAAGCATTTACAGCTAGCTAAGAAACAAAGCAGCTACTTATATTCTATATTTTGTGTGCTCCCTGTGTGCTCTTACTACTGACCTGAAAGTGCGCTGCAACATTGACATTTTTTTGGGACTAATAAAGGTTCTCATTGCTCTTATCTTTCATTTCCTGGACTTAGAGGAATGTTACAGTGTGGAGTTTGCATGTTCTCTTTGTGTCTGAGTATTATCTCTGGGTGAATTAAGGGCCACCATGTGCAGGAGGATAGTTCAACAGCAAAAATGTATAAATTTTTTTGCAACCGGACTATGATATACCTATAAAATGTTCTCAATGATCACAGGACAATATCATATACTACCATTACATCACCTTGACTTCGTATTTTGTAAATGCTATTCCTCTAAATGATAAGTTGTAAAAATTAAAACTGTTTATGAAGCATTTACAGCTGCTTATCTCTATCCGTCTATGCATATTTTGTGTTCTCCTTGTGTACTCTTACCATTGTCATGTATTGCCACTGCAACACCGAAATTTCCCCACTGTGGGACGAACAGGTTCTCTTGTATGGTGAACATAATAGAATCACATTAACATTATATTCCACATTTTGTCTGCAGTTCAGGGCAGAAGCTGGAGCTGGAGAGCTGCAAGGACTGGAGAGATATCAAGAACAACACTGGATACAACAAAGTGGAACAGATTTCCACCAATATAGACCCGCTCACTAAGGTAGACTCATCCTTCAGTGAAATATTACATGTTTCCAATTGTATCTGAGAAGAACTGTGTGGAGTAAATATATAATACTTATCCCTATAGAGAATAAGGAGCTCTCTTAAGATAAAGAAAGCAGAGGAGCATGCGCTGTATCGATGTGTGGCTGCGAACAAAGCAGGAGAAGATTCCCGTATCATCAAATTTCATGTGACACGTAAGTTTTGTCGTATTTTTTTATGGCTCTGTTTTTATTGTAAGTAAGTAAGTGTTTATTTCAACAACAAAACAAACAAGATACAGGCGTTTAATTTGAAAATACAGTTTGAAAAGGGGTCCCTGATTTTTCACACAATACACACACACACACACACACACATACACGTTTTTGTTACCTGGTGGGTCCCTTTGACAGGGCCGTTCAGAATGGGACCCATAGACATAATCTTTTTTTACTGGGACTACTTTAAGTAATACAAAACAGTCAATAGAAACCAAACAACTATTTTAAAGGAATTTTATTTTAGATTTTGTTTTCGAATTGCAGTGATTCTATTTTTGACATAGAATTTAATGCCACTCCATGTCCGATGTCTAAGGTCATCTGGTGAGGCATTAATGCAGGCCAGGCAGTGAGACTTCCCAGGGACCTTTCCAGTCTGTATGAAAGGTGTCATGGTCTCCACAGCCTTCACCTCAGATGCAGACCATGGCTTTCTTACACGTTCTAGGGAGAGAAATAAAAATATATTAGCAATATACACTCCCAGGGTTAGGACCAAGCAGCCTGGCTGTAACCCCCCACCTGGTACACTTACCAGAAGGGGCACTGCCACTACCATGGGGTGCATCTGGATGAATGGTTGAAGGTTCTCCGCTTGAAGTTTCTTTTAGCCCGTCCGTTTGTGAGAGGATCTCTACTGCTCTCCCTGTCGCACAGAAAATAAAAATACAAGTGGCCTTTAGGGGAAAAAAATCATACATATTTTAATAATATCAAGAATTACCTTCAGGCTCAATTTGTATCTGGTCGAGGCTCTTTCCTTTGAATTCCGTCACTCTTCCCTGCTCCATGGCCATTAACACTTTGCTGATTTTGGCCAGCTCCAGTGCCCCCTCTGGTAGTCTGTAATATTGCCTGTGGATGCGAATGTCATGGCCGAGGAAGTTGGAAAGTATGTCCATCTCATTCTCTTTCATATTGAGAACTGTAGACATAGTAGCTATGTGCTTTCTAAGTTTGGTTGAGGATAGCATCTCTGGATGCACCGCACCACATTCTTTGGCTACCTGCCGTAGGGAGTCTGATCCCCTGATGTGGGTGTCTGCGCCCGGGCGGGAAAAGAAGTATGGGTTATGGTCAGAGATGGAACAGGCCCTTCTGTTCTCCACCAGCACCTCCATCGAAGCAATCATTTCAGGAGTCAAAAGAACCGGCACTTTCCGACTTCTTTTCCCTTTAATTTCAATGCGTTGAAAATGCTGACACAGCTTTTTCTCAAGTTGGGACAGTCCCAGAGCAATGTCAGAATGGATCCCAGTCTTACTTCTTAAGGTAAAGGCTGTCAGTGGCATCTTTGAAACCTCACCTTCCCTTCTTCGATTGAAAATGATGACCTCACAAAGAGTCAAAACTGCCAGTTTAGACCAATGCTTAGACGTTGGCTCACTTATTAGGGTTTGCACATATTCAGGTCGACATACCTCAATATGTGCATGCATGGCTCTAACGTCCTCAGTCAGAGGGAGCAGGTCCGGAGTGTGTTCCACTTGGCTTGCCGGAGGGTCTGTAGGGCAGCAGAAGAAACACAGACGTCCCACCTCTTCTCAAAAAGCAGCCGGCTTCGTTGGAGGTTTTTAATAAATAGTTCATCAACACAATGCTCCATTTTTGAGTCACATTCAAGAATATCTGCTAGCTTTCTGAGGCTATGGCCGAGTTTGAGGGCCAAGGATGGAGTCTTGTATTGATTTGTTTCCTCATCATATCCAGCCACAGACCTGACTGCATCAATCACATGGTTAAAGTTGGAAGGAATAAAGAAATCCTTAATTGTTTTCAGTTTCCCTGCGGTTTTTGCTTCGTTAATTAACCTACCGACTTCTCTCATTTTCTGCCTAATGTAATCATGCTTAGTCTTATCATGCCCGTGTTTTAAGTACAGGTGCTCTCCGAGTCTCAGAATCCCCTTTTCTGCTTTGACAACACCCGTGACCTCATCCTGATGCATTGCCGAAATTAAAGACCACAGCTTTTTGCTGATGCCCTCCGGTACAGGCTGGGCTAGGGAGCAGAGGGACTGGACCCTACTTCCACCTGGTTTAGCCTGGTTTAGCCTGGGCATCTTTCTGTGAAAGCCGGCACCTGGCCACATGCCTCCACAGCGACTTTCGCTTAAGCAATGCCCCACAGTCTATACAGTGCAAAAACTCACTGGATTTAACTGGGGAATTTGGCTGTTTAGCTGGGACTAAAGTTCCAATGCCGGCCTTTAAAACCTCAAAATTGTGCTCACGGTTTCCACTATTCCTGATCAAATCAAACTGAAGTTTACGTGCTTTAGATTTCACAGGTAGAGCCAATGCTCTGGCTACGTCACTTTCATTTCCATGTTTTCTAGTCAAATGACGGGACATTTTGTGGCAGGACATTGAACAGTAGAGGCAGAAGTGTCTCTTGCTGTAAACTCGCCCCCCATTTTTCTTCTTTTGCAGCTGCATGATAACAATCTTATTTGCCTTTGGTTCGTCACTTTCCGAGTCTTGAAGAAAAGTGTTTTTGATTTTTCTTTTTCCATACTTTTTTACAGGTTTCTTCTTGACAGTTAAATCGTCAGAATCTGAGTCGACTTCATCAATTAGGGACTCTTGACTAAGCTGCACAAACAACAAATAATTTGTAATCATTCTATATAACAATTTGAAGTCATGACTTGTAGTCAGCACTTACCAGTGGTTTGTAAGCGTGCGCTTCAGTGTGCTCCTCCATGATTTCTTGCAGCCTAATGAACCACACACTTGCACCTTTTTCTAGCCTGACACCTGATTTCCTCTGTTGTGCTGCTCCATGATTGGCTCCAGCCTGCTGGACTGAAATTGCCCCAGTGTGCCCCTCCTTGATATCCCGCAACCCACCACCAGGGTTCCGACACATAACACACTTTTTTCAGGAAAGTAAACCTCCAGGGGTCCTTTCCATATTTTTACAGAGACTGCATAAGGACCGTTAGAAAAGCATTACCCATTGATTATTAAGCTTGGACCAGTGGGGTCCGGTGTTCGGGCCCCACCACGTAAAACCAGTCCCCATGACGTGAGTGGAATCTCAGGTTATGGAACCCACCAGGAGTTGAAAACAAGTGCACACACACACACACACACACACACACACACACACACACACACACACTTCATGCTGAGGGCGCTTCATGCTCCAGTACTTTTTTGTTTTGAACTGGATCATATTTGAACATTTGTTTCAATCCTCTGATAATCCGTTCCAAAGAGCAGCTCCACGCACTGAGACACACATTAATTTGAGAGTGGTTCTACATTTTGGCACATATATTTGTTTGCTTCCTCCTCTTTGTAATAATTGTCGGGGGAATCTTGTCTTGTTGCTGCAGACAGAAGAAATATTACACAATGCAAACAGGACAAGCCGTAAAACAAAACAGAACTATTCAATCTTATGTCAATATTTTTTAAATATTGATGCAAGTTTGGGGGGCGGGGCGGCACCAGTACACATAGCACCAGCCCCTCTATGTCGTTGATTAGTTTAACACTTTATACTATATATTTGTGTTATTAGTGCTCCTACATTGCGTTCTTCAGTGAATGAATGCTACTTAAATAAGAATATAAAAAATATAGCATCCATTAGAATACTTTTTTTTACCTGTAGACCTTTTACCAGAACTGCATGTGTCATAACCAAAAGTATATATAGAAAAAAAGTTCAGACCATTGGAACAGCTGCACCATGTACGATTGGAGCAAAACTATACTCCTGTGGTCTTATGTCTGCTTTCAGGTGGTCTGGAGTTGAGTGTGTCTCCTCCTGATGAGCTGTTGGAAGAGGATGATGTTCTGCTGCGTTGTAAAGCCGACAGACTGATCAATGGAAACCTGGCCTGGTTCAAGCTTGACAACATCTCGGACTCGGAGCCGGTGGCCTCCGTACAGCCCTGCCGCTCCCTGGCCCTGCCCCGGACACCTCTCTCTCAAACCGACCTGTCTCACTCTCAGAACAGCAACATGAGTCTGGAGCTGCTGCTGCCCCAGGCCTCCGCTCGGGACCAGGGGGTGTACGTCTGTCAGATCCAGAACAACAAGACCGAGGAGAGGACCTGCCTGCTCCGCCGCATCACACTCCGAGGTGTCCGTATATTTACACACAGTTTTAGGAGAAAAACGCACATGCTCTATGATGGTGAGGGAGGGGACAACTTATTTTGTATACAATCTAAAGTTGAATTTAAATGAACTAAAAACAGAAAGAGGGTGTACAAAGGTCTTATTGATAAGATAAATGAAAAGGAAAAAAGAGAGCTAACTGGGACCACAGTTGGTGAGCATGCTCCTCGGGAAAGTGTCCAGGATGTGACCACAGAACATTCTCACAGCAAACAGACACCGCAAATGAAATGTGCAAACTAAATTGAACCAAGTGCACTAATTCACATGCAAAGGTTGGGGACCACACTGACGTAAATAATAAAAATAGAAGTTGCACAAAATGGCTGCCACCTACACACAGGTGCTTTTTATGGGACATCCAGAGGCAGCTGCTTGTTGCATGTGCGAAAGTATCATTTCACTGTCGCCTGTAGCATAAAAAGCACAGCAGGGAATTAGTAACAATATTTTAAAAGCTTTTTTTTTTTGCCTAAAAGAGTAATGCAGAACTGTACATGTGGTATTTACTTGTGAAATGTTCTGAAATGTTTTCAGGTCTTGAGCCCACAAGGATCCTCAATAACTTGACAGACCAAAGGGTTAACGTGAGTTCAACAGTGACTTTTGTGTGTGACGCTGCTGGGACCCCAAAGCCCACCGTGATCTGGACCAAGGACAATCACACTGTAGTGGAGAGATCTGGTATGCACCCTTTACTGTATGTTTTATTGAATTAAATAATGTCCAAGATTATGGTAATAAAGTGTGATTTATTACAGGCATCATTCTGAGCCAGCACGATAATATTCTGACAATTCAACGAGTGAAGCAAGAGGACAGCGGCCTGTACACTTGTACTGCCTGTAACAATGGAGGGTGTGATGTCGCACAAGCATTCCTCAGCACTGAAGGTTTGTCGTCTCATGTTGAAACTATAATCTAAGATATAATGCGATTAAACTTTCTTGATCTCACAATGGAGAAATGTACATGTTACATAAAAGTAATATCCAAAGAATACAGAATATGATTTTACTGTGGTCTGTTTTGACCTATGACAATAATTACTATATCAGTCAATGACGATGAGAATAAAACAATATATATTTTGGGCCTCAATAATTATCATTTATATATTTCTGTGAAATAGTGAACAGTTTTTTGAGAATTAGCATTACACTGTGTCGCAACAGATGCATATTTTGCTGTAACTATGTTTAAGTAGGGGGTTTAAAATATCTATATATAACTTAATTCCCCTGCTTATTTTCTTTTATGAATTGTATAAATCCAAAAACTGCTTTGTTGTACTTTTTTGCATTATTAAGTCGCTTCAGTATTATCGTTTATTGCAATCATTTACAAAATCAATTATTTGTGTGTCAGGCCAGTATGATGACAGTTGTGGCTGGTTACATACACAACACTTTTCATTTCATGTATAAAATTTACCATCCCGGTTTTCACACTCACTGGGAATACATTGAACAAGCTATTTTTTGACTAGGCAAAATATGAAAAAATATCGTTCATAAGCGACCCCGTGTCTGTAAGAGTTGCTAGCATAGTGCTTTTACTTTTGATCACGGTTGTGTCTAGTGCTCCAGGATCAATTGTTTTGTAGGTTCCAAATAATTGATCCTATAGCATCCCAGAGACCACTGCGATTGGAGGTAAATGTGCCAAACAGACCACCATAAAGCCTCTAGGGTCTAGATTTTCTCACATACTGTAAGAAATGTAATGCCAGTGCAGAGACCTAAGAACTGAAAATGTGAGACAGGCTTTTTCTCTGACTATGTTGAAATCCAGCTTAAAACACTTATTTCTGTACAAACAACCGAGGGATTATATCTTTACTCTTTTCAATTTAATGTAATTATTTAATTATTTAATACTTGTGTGACCGTCTCTATCTTGTTTTGTTCAACACTTTGAGTTACTTTGTGTATAAACTGTGCTATACATAAAAAACCTGCCTTGCCAAGCCACTTTAAACTTCTACTTATAACACAATGCATGTTTTTATTATTTCAGGCGTGGAAGAGAAGACCAATGTTGAGCTGATTGTTCCCATTGGTTCTGTGGTCATCGCTATGTTCTTTTGGTTACTTATCGTCTTCGTTATTCGCGGCAGAAAACGAGTGAGTATATCCTTTCGAAGCAATACTTTTCTATCTTTGGACTTTCCTTCATGACACACACACACACACACAAGTGCAGTGCTATTGAATACAAACAACAGATAAAACACCAGAGCATATTTGACCCAACGACTTGATTGAAAGTGACGGGTTTGGCTCTGAATATGTCCAGTCCTTTGTGGACCGTAACAACAGGGCTCTATGTTTGCAAAGTCACGTACAGCTGGGCCTCTTTCATTGGAAGGGCACCAACACACCGCAATCATTACCAAAATGTAATTAAATCAGCTAGCTCCAATTTGTGTGTGTGTAACTGTAATCTTGTGTTGTGTAGTCCACCGGTGGAGACCTGAAAACGGGTTATCTCTCCATGATCCTGGACGCAGAGGACATGCCCATGGATGAGCAGTGTGAACGACTCACCTATGACGCCAGCAAGTGGGAGTTTCCTCGAGACAGACTCAAACTAGGTCAGAGTGACAAACAGGATATTGACCAAGATACATTCATATATTAACAATCTGCCTTTGAGTTGTGTTGTGATTATTCTAAACATCCTAAGACTTAGATCTCTTGTATTGATTTGTATGAAGTAAATAGCTTACACTAGTTGACCAATAATTTGACAAAAGCCAGATGATTATGATGATCAAAAAGGCTTATACTGTAGTTACTGTATGTAATATTTAAATTATTGATTAATATGTGTCCCCGAATAGAGCTTGACAGGTAAAAATTGTCACATGTCATGTTCTGATGATGATTCCCTTATTTACGTAAGCCCCATTTTACTTAAATGACTTCTTTTCCCCCTTTTCATATGTAATCAGGTCTGTGTTTTCCAATCAAATCTACCATGTATCTGGTATCACTGCAGTTCTGTTAATTATTCAGCAAATTGGGACCATACTGTACTTGAATCTAGTATGGAAAAATTAATCGTTGTTGCGACTCAGCTCCATAAAAAAAAAAGACATGACATAATTTTTTCAGTGAATTCTCATGATTCTGTTTTGCTCCAGGAGATCCACTGGGACGGGGAGCATTTGGTCAAGTCGTCGAAGCTGCGGCTTTTGGGATTGAAAAGGCAATAACGTGCACAACTGTAGCTGTGAAGATGCTCAAAGGTTTGTGTTTCCCTCAGACGTACAGTATCGGTTTTTACACCCAGGTGATTCCATCTCTCATCAACAGAGGGCGCCACTGCGAGCGAGTACCGCGCTCTGATGTCTGAACTGAAAATCCTCATCCACATTGGACACCATCTCAATGTGGTGAACCTGTTGGGGGCCTGTACTAAAGCTGGAGGTTAGTGGGAATAAGAGAATGTCTGTAGAAAAATGAATAATGGCATTTCTGTTGCACAGGACCCTTAATGGTGATCGTGGAGTACTGTAAAAATGGAAACCTCTCCAGTTACCTGAAGAGTAAGAGAGGAGAGTACAGCCCCTACAAGGTAATTTCACTATAGACTAAGTTGTCATTCACAGAGGAGAAGTTAAAGAAAAGGAAAGGGGTCATGTGTCTTATACCAAACGGGTTTCAGATCTGTCATATGCATTCTGATTTCATTGATAATTTGTCGTTGAGTGGCATTTGTCCCAATATCTCACACAAATATGGCTAAAGTGACTATTACTACATTTGAACACATATACAGTATTACATGTATGGACATTTATGGATATTTATAGACAATGGTCAACCCATGGACCAATGGCTCCTATGTGTTTGTTATGATTACATTTTAATAATAATAATACATTTTATTTCTTAGGTGCCTTTCTAGACACTCAAGGTCGCCTTACAGCACAAGTAAAAAGTACATCTAGCTAAAATACAGTTTAAAATACAGTAAAAATATAAATATGAAATACGAAAAGCAACTGATTTCTTATCTGATCTGTTGTTGGTGAATTGAAAACTTTGTAAAGTCCTTCAAGATTACTGCTGTTGTGATTTAGGCCTTTTCAAAAATAAATTCAATTAACTGGTAAATGTGACTAAAATACCATGATAAACTGGTGCTATGAGCATTGGGTGGCAGCTCTGATTGTCACCCCCCGACCCAGAAATGGATTAATAAAGGGGTAGAAAATTAATGAATGGATAAATGAATGAATTAATGAATGAATACTGATATCTTGGTCCACAGAGGAGACGGGTGGAAAGCCAGCATTGGGCTCGCTCAGAGGACGACATGACGAAAGGAGATCTGGGTTTGGGTAAAATCGCTCAGTTAGACATTTGCACTGGGACTGCGATGTGCACTGCAGGAGAGCGGACCTCCAGCAACACCATGGACTCTCCTGAAGGTATATGAACATAACCGGGGAATTTTTTACGGAAACTATCTTCGTCAGTCATAGTAACAATATTCATATAACCATAGAGAGCTCAGATGAGGACCACCTGACTATGGAGGATCTGATAAGCTACAGTTTCCAAGTGGCCAAAGGCATGGAGTTCCTGTCCTCACGAAAGGTAGGACTGTTTGGCTACTGTGTCTTTCATGTTTGTGGATAATGTTTGTGTCTTTCAGTATTATTGTGGTGTGTGGATAAGCAGGGATGTTTTTTTAAAATATATTTTGAATCTATTTATTGCAGTAACAGTAAGAATAATATCCTTTGTGGAATCATGAAGTATTGTCAAACTCATAATCAAAAAGCACACAACAACAATTGCCAAAATGTACACTTTACATTCAAATATTATTTAAAAGCCTAGATTCCACTCCACTTTATCCGTTGCTGTGTTGCGGGGGCAGCAGTCCAAGTAGTCAAACTGAAATAGTTTTTGAAAATTCCAAGTTTTAGGAAATTTAAAGTAGAAAGAAATATATAGAGACTTTAACATGTTGCACAATTACCAATGTTGTTAACGGTAACTAGGAATTCATTGTTGAACCAAATTTACCAACACTGCATTTATATTTGGCCTAATCCAACAGTAAAAACCTGCACTGCTTTTGCCACTCTTTATTTTGTTGCCACTTTTTTATTGTTCATAATTATGACCTACACAGACAATATTTTTAACTTTAACATGTTGCACACTTCTGTCTTTTGCACAATCTGAGTGATTCTATCCATGCCAAATGTGACATGTGCATTTCTCCAGTGTGAGATCAATAAAGTCTGTCTTATCTTTTCTTAATATAGCGATAAATCCACAATGAATAGATCAGCTGTGACTTGAGATCTACTAAAGGAGTGTTAAAAAACAAGTTAACATTATTTCATCTGTTCTCTGTAAGATTGTGCTATTATTCAACGTCTTGCTTTGATACTGTAGTGCATCCATCGAGATCTTGCAGCTCGGAACATTTTGCTCTCGGAAAACAATGTGGTGAAGATCTGTGACTTCGGACTGGCTCGCGATGTCTACAAAGACCCAGACTATGTTCGCAAAGGAGACGTAAGCGAAGCAAAACTCCACTCAACACGATGCGTTCAAACACAAATGCTGTCAAATCCTTTTCTTTAGGCTCGGCTTCCCCTGAAGTGGATGGCCCCGGAGACGATCTTTGACCGTGTTTACACCACGCAGAGTGACGTCTGGTCATTTGGAGTTCTGCTGTGGGAGATCTTTTCCCTGGGTAACACCATTCACACATATTTATACTCTTTGCGACACAGAATATTAGCTTTAAAGTTATATAGGAAGATTTTCTACTTGATCAATCATTCTGGTGATACGTGCTCAGATTCAGATTCAGTTTATTTGCCATTTGCAGTAAAAACACCACATTGGAATACATTAGCAAAAGTCTCCAGTGTGCACAGACAAATACAGACATAAAACAACATTAAAAGACAAAAATAAAACAAATAAAACAGTAAACAAATATCACTGTGAAATCGATCGACTAAAACAGTTTAAAAACAAGTGCAAATCATTAAAGTGCTCTGTTCAAACTGATAACAGCTTGTGGATAAAAACTGTTAGCGTAACGAGATGTCCTGCATCTCAGAGAGCGATATCTTCTGCCAGAGGGAAGAAGCTGGAACATGGCTTTCCAAGGGTGGCCAGAAGAGTCATTGACAATCCTAAGAGCTTTGTTTAAAAGTCTGGATTTATAAAGAACCTCCAGAACAGGAAGCTCACAGCCCACGGTCCTCTTTGCAGAGCGGAGCACCTTGTTTAAAGCTCTCTTTTCTTTATCTGTGATGTTTCCAAACCACACAGACACAGAACCAACAAGTAAACTCTCAATGGTGCAGCGATAAAAGTTAAGCAGAATCTTAGAGTTAGTGGTAAATTCTCTAAGTTTACGCAGAAAGTAGAGACGCTGACGAGCTTTCTTAACAACTCAGTCAGTGTTTTTAACCCATTTCAGGTTAGACAGAGTTAAACCCAGAAACTTACACTCCTCTACGATCTGCACCTGGGAGTTGTCGATTACGACAGGCAAATGAGAACTATTGCGACTGAAGTCGTAGACCAGTTCACATGTTTTGGATGCGTTCAACTGGAGGTTGTTAGTTTTACTCCACTGAACCACATTTTGTATCTCTGCTCTATAAGAGGATTCATCATTGTCACTGATGAGACCGATGATGGTGGTGTCATCAGCATATTTGATGATCAAGTCAAATAAGACCAGAGAGTTTTGTTCAAAAAGTGGAGAGGGCGGTTCTTTCCTCAAATTTGTAAGTATGTAACGTGTTTGTCATTTGCCTTGTAGGGGCGTCGCCTTATCCCGGAGTGTGCATTGATGAGGCTTTTTGTAGAAGGCTCAAAGAGGGCACCAGGATGAGACCTCCAGAGTATGCCACAACAGAAATGTGAGAGAACAAGTGACGCTGGGACACACAATTACAACCTATACAACCATAACAAACGATGAAAAAATCTTTTGTTCAAATTGCTTTTAAATATTTGTCTTTATGTGGCTTTTTATGCATGAACATGTATTAGTCAGAATCAGTTGTGCCCCAGTGTGAAAAGGCACAGTCCATGTAGATGATATTCCAGATTTATAGCTACAGAATGTGGACATATTAGTCTATGTCACAGGAGTTGCCACAAGTGATTAGATGCCTAACACAGCATAGGTTTTAGGTTTGATAAAAAAATCTCCCAGCATACAATTATACTTGTATATTATTCTTATTCCCAGATACCAGACCATGTTGGACTGCTGGCTGGATTGCCCCACAGATCGACCCACTTTTACTGAACTGGTGGAGCATTTGGGGAATCTGCTTCAAGTCAGTGCGCAGCAGGTCAGTACGGGGCCCTTTTCTGAGGGCCGTCCGATCCCTGTATGACCCAAGTCAGAGCTGTGTTTACAAATCCTACTAACTCAGACCTGTTCCCTGGGCATGTTCAATGGTTCTAGTCACTGTTTTTATGGACAGAATTCACCACACGGCTACATCTCTGCTGTTTGTGGACAATGTTGCCTTGTTAGGCTTCACAAAATCAGGACATGGGACAGACCTAGGACATGGAGGAGGGACTGTGTCTCACAAAAAAAATCAGACTATTGCCATAGCAATGATTGTCCATTAAACATATACATACATACATTTCATTCAGAAACAGATTTTTTACAGTCAGAATTTAGTCACATGAAGTAAGAGACTGTGTGGGAGCCAAAATACTTTTACTGACAGACCCCTCAATTGACAATCTAAACATTAAAGTCAACTCTACAGATATAACTTTTACTACTACATTTTAATGTCTTGCTAGGATGGAAAAGACTACATTCCAGTGACGGAGGGTTTTCCCCTGGTGTCGGACCCCAGGAGCCAGTACAGTTCACCCCAGAGCGGAGTCTCACATGACTACGACCACCCTCTCTCTATAAGGTCAGTGTCTTTGTGCAAACTGTGAACTCACTGAGTTTAAAAAGAAGCTTCAAAGTATACTATGGGATGTTTTCTTGAATTCGTTTGATCATGTGCTTTGACTGTGTGCAGAGTGGAGCGGGAGAGTGAGAGCTGCAGTATGAAGACATTTGCGGACATCCCAGTGGAGCACAGCAGTGTCATGGTTAGTGCTACAGCCACTCATGACCAGGACTTTACATTATCCATTATAATCCATTCAAACTCTAGTGATAACTTAAAATACATGCCATATTTGACATGCTTTACCTCCTCACCACAGGAGGGTCATCTAGACTGCAGCCTGGGCGTCTCGTCTGAGGAAGTGAAAAGCCTGAATCCCCAGCTCAACACCACACCCAACCTCAGGTCTGTCTCATATTAAAAAAACATCCTCCATGTAGAAGAGTCAAAGAAAGGCAGGGGGAAGGAAATAAAGAAAAAGTTCTTACACAGATTCAGATTCATCAGATTAATTTTAGTTGATATTTGCAGTAAAACCTTGGAAACATTGGAATACATTTGCAACAGCCCCAGTATGCTCAAGACAAGTACATGAATTACTTCACAAGCAAAGTATTTAGAATTTTAGATTGACCTTGTTTACATGTTCACTCATAAGATAGCAAATCTTTTTTTCTCTTCTCTCATTTGATTTTTTTTTTCTGCGACACAAAAATCTTTCCAACCAAAATTGAAACCAAAAACTGTTTATCGAACCTGCTTCATAAAATCTTTCTCTCTTCTGCCATCTCCAGAGCATCAAGAAAACAACCACATTAATCTAATTTAAATGAAGAAATAGCTTGTCTTAGTCTATATTCAAGTAAAGTAAAAACATGTTTTTTCTTATTGCAATTGCTCAAGATTGTTTTTCACTACAAATAATGATGAAGTATAAGATACTTAGTGTTTTTATGTATCTCGATTTCAGTCACGAGTTGCCAATCGGACTAACGTTATTATGTGAGAATTTGTTCTTTTCCTTTAAATAAACTATACATTTTTGCTTGTCCCATTGGCAAATCTTGTTTGAAGACCAACACCATTATTAAAATCAAGATGAATTTAGCCCAATTCAAGACATTTCTTTTTTCTCATTGTTTGTTAAATATAACACATTAAAATCAAGAATAAAAACAAAATACTTTCAATATTTATGCAGTGTATGAGGTCAAAGTAAAGTGAATTCCAGTTTTTTCCTTTTTTTTCTTTTTTCTTCCCCACAAACTTTCAAACTCCCTAACAAACAGATCTCTTTATATTTCCAGTCAGTTGCTGCGCTGTAAGAGCAAAGAATCACTGGGCTCTGAATCGTCCAATCAGACGAGTGGGTATCAGTCGGGGTACCACTCTGATGACGCTGAGATGCCCATATACGCCAACGAGGAGGTCATCCTGAAGCACCACAGGATGAAGAAGCCCCCTCGTGCCCGTGCTGTGGACAAATACCAGCCAGACATCCGCTACAGCACCCCTCCAGTCTGAAGGGAGTAGAGATGAGGAGACGCATACAAGATATCAACACAATACTGACAGAGGACTCAAAATGTGTCATATCTAACGGTCATAACACTGTCAAGATCGTTAGGTTAAAGATGGGGTACCTCACTTTTTTGGTTTCAATTCAATTTACTTTTGCATGGCCCTAAATCACCGCAGCAGTCGTCTCCAAGGACTTTACAACGTTCCTCAACAACAAATCAGAGAAAACAAACAGTTCGTACACAGGAAATGCACAGTAACAAAGACATGGTTGGTCCATAGGGGGCAGATGACCATCAATGTCCTTAGACCTCTCTACTTCTTCAAGGAACAACTCAAAAAGCCAGTTGGAAAAAGTGCGAAAACTGCGGGAGGCCCACATTGAGAGAGGGATCTGCTCCTACGGACAGAAAGGCTACAGATCCAGGCTGTAAAACGAGGACTGAGGAATAAATCATTCATAAATAATACATTTTGTTTGTCCCAACAGATGGAATATTTTATGTTGGGAACACTTCATACCACAATATGCTGTCTTTCTTTTATTAGACTTTCAATTCTATTGAATTTATTCTTGTATAGTCCTAAATCACAGCAATAGTTATCTCAGAGGACTTAATAATACCGCTGAAATCACCAACACAGATCAGAAAAGCAAACAGAAAAAAAAGATTTAACTCAAATGTATTGGTCCAGAGGGAGAGACCAACGTCCATAAATGTTGTAGAATGTTAGAGTGTCCTGGATCATCAACACAGTTAGACCATTAACAGTCTGACAGACCCTCCTGCATTGGAGATCCACATTGAGAGAGGGATTCGCTCCACACGGACTGACGGGCCATAGATCCAGGACATTCAGAACAGAACGAGGACCGAGGCCATGCAGCGGTTGTAGAACGAGGACAGGTGCGGTGCAGGAAGCAGCTCCCAGGAGGGGAGGGGGTGCAGCAGATTCCATAGTATAGAAGCTTGGTAGCTAAATGCTCTGCCGCCGACAGAGCTTTTTGAGACTTTAGGAACCACCAGACGCCTGGCGTTTTGCGAGCTCAGTGAGAGAGTTTGGTTTGTATGACACTAACGTGTCTTGGAGGTATGAAGGAGTCATGCCATTTATGGCTTTGTACGTTAAAAGAAGCCAGAACAACATGTGATCTTTTGCATACTTATAATAAAGAGCCCTGTCAGTCACTATGTGATGCTTTGGGCTAAGAGCTGTTTAGCTGAGTAATGGCGGCCCTCAGCTATTGCCCTAAGCTGATCTAATTCCGTGACAAAAGCAAAACCAGTAATTGAAAGAAGAACAACCCAGTTTTAATTGTAACAGCTATTACAAATAATTGTGACAAGTTTAGATGCAAAATCAAGTTATTCCCATTCAATCTATACTTTCATTATACACTTTAATATATAATTGCATGTAATATTGTTATCTTTCTACAACATTATCATTTGGAACGTTGTATCTGCAAAAAATGAAAAAAACTTGAATGAAGTATTTAGTATTTGACTAGACTTGCCATGAGAATAAGTTGGTTTAGCCCTTTATCAAGCTCAGTTGCTCTGCATCCTCAATTTAAAGCTGTGGTACCTAATTTAAATTCAATAAATATATCTTTAACTCATGAGAAAAAGATTCTGAGGAGATGATTGGCTGAGTGAGGGTGGTCCTCTTTCTTGTTTCTGTCAGAAAGGGGAATAAACAGATACATGCATGTGAAAACTGAACCTGGATTATAAATGGATTATAAATACATACATCTCCCAGATTTAAGAATTCAAACAAGACATTTATGCTTTTTCCATTGATAAATGTTTTTATGTCTATGTATTACTTTTTCTGTAATATTTGCTTCGCTGAGGAGAAAGTGTCACATGTTATTGACTAGAAATGAAGCAATATTTCTTTTTTCTTCTGTCTAAAAATGTGTGAATAATTTTGAAATCACAGTTTTTCTCACAATAATTGTAACTATTGAACTCATGACACCCATACTTGACACGTTGTATTAGCCTTTGTATCACACTGGTAATAGGACATCACTGCCACAACTCTGTAAGAACTCTCCTGTACATTCTGTAAGTTTGTGTCTGCAGACGTCACATTTTCACACCGGTAGCTTAAACCTCTCATGTTATGTAAGACTCTATTTCTCTATTGAAATGCTCTATTTTGAAATAATGCATTTTTTGTGTGTTTTTAAGACCTGCAAACGGTTCTGTTTTGAAGATTGACAGATGATTTCAAGTGATTCTTAGTATTATTATTTTAACTATATATTTTCATAAACTGTGGTTGGTCAATGCATTCATCAAATATAAGCTTAATTCAGGATGAGTGATTGGAGATTGAATGCGGTTTTCTTTTTTGTGTCTCTGAGTGGGAGAGGAGGGGTTTGCTTCCATATTCTCTTCATTCTGCTGTTTTTTTTATTCTGTAAAATTGCGTTGTACAGGTTTTGAAATAAACATTTTGATTGTTATCAGTTAAAGGTGCATTTCTGAAGCGACCCATCAGCTGAGCTCCAGGATCAACAGTTTTGTAGGTTATCTGATGCGAGGGTCTCTCAGCTGAGTAAACATTCCAAATAATTGATCCTACAGACCACGGGGATGGAAAGAAAAGCCCAAGGTCAAATCATTTTTATTTATTTATTTATAAAGTGCATTTCACAGACCAAGATCACACAAAACCCTACCATGTTTTAGACTAGTGCTTCCCAATCTTTTTGATCCATGGCACAGCGGGGCAGCACAGTGGATTCACAACAAGAAAGTCCTGGGTTCGATTCCATCTCCAGGTTTTTGAGTGTGGAGTTTGCATGTTCTCCCCGTGTTTGTGTAGGTTCCTTCCAGGTGCTCTTGTTTCCCCTACCACTAAAACATGTACAATAGGACTGAATGTAATGAGTGAATATATGATGCTGATCGGGGGCTTTGATGCACCAGTGTGTTTGGCGTCTCGCTTCCGTCATCACCGTGTGTGGAGAGAAAAGAAAAATATCTGAATTCTCAGTCCATCCACTCGAATGACCCAAGCAAAAAGCGAAGAATCCACCAGGAAAGTTTTACGTAGTGCATCTTTAAAGGAGCAACATGTAAACATGTGGCCAAAAGTGGTACTGCAACCTCTCCCACTCTCCCTGACTCAGGTTGCCAGATATGGTAGACAAATCCAGCTGGGACCATAACAGCTGAATAGACAAGAGTTTTGTCAACAACAAATCTATAACCAAAATCTTTTTCGCAAAAAGATAGAAATCCTTGTGTTATTCTTTGATTTGTCATGAATAATTTGTGAATAATTATAATACCTTTTTCAGTACAGCAGATGCTACTTTGCCAGTGAGATTAGCTCAACGCGGTGGTTTCTGGCAAGCTGGATCACAGATTTTCTGATTGGTAAAACAGTGGAGGGCGGGACATAAAAATGAAAACAATAACAAGATTTAGGGTATGTAAAACTAATTTTGAAATCCAAATATCTCAGCTTAACTATGGTTATCAGTTAAAGAAGTATTGGAAAAGAGCATGGTTTATTAATGCCTTTTGACAGATGAGGGCCATTTGATGATGACTTGACATGAAGATCTTACATATTGCTACTTTAAGTGTTAGAGCCATGGACGAACAGATCTCTCTCACACAGCCCTCCTACATCCTGACGCTGCCAGAAACGCCCTCTGCAAAACTTGGATAAATCCTTGTTTTCTTTCTTCCATTGTTTCACATGTTGACACTGTGTGAAGAACGGACAATGTTTGGCTATATCTTTAAGATTCAGAATTGTAGTTTCAGACTTCCTGTAATTTAAATAAATGTAAGTAGTTTTGTAAAAAAAATTAAACTGTTGATAGAAAGGCTTTGAATCCTTGCTCCATGTGTGAAGTTGGGGTTCCTGCTGCGCTCAGACTGTACAATGAACAATCACTGTCAGACCCTGTACATATTGTTCCTATGTAAATAATGCAATATTGTGCAATATTTTAGAAATATAAAGTGGTGTTTAATATTGTACCCTAAGTGTAAATTAATTAGTGACTAATTTAAATTTGATTGAAGTCACTCATACAGTATTTTCCGAGATTACCCATATATTTTTGTTCCTAATGTGGATTATTGGTTTGTAATTCAGATTATGGAAATTTATTAAGACAATTTATATTTTGTCAATTATTTTTGTTATGTGTGCTTTTACTCCTACTGTCTGGAATGTTTGCTAACAACAAGTTTAAGCAAAAAAGAACAGCTTGAATGCTCTGACAAAAAGAGCAAGGGAAAGTAAAACCAGTATCCAAAATTGTACATCCAAAATTGTCAACAGCTCTATCTGCTGTGTGCCAGAGGTAATTGCTATCTCTGGCATAACTCTGATTCATCATCCCACTCCTGCTGGGGTCATGGTAACATCCCAGATCAATAACCCAAAACACACACACACACACACACACACACACACACACACACACACACACTGAGCCCATAGGATATCATTTTTATCCTCAAAGTAATATTTCTGTCAGTGAGCATCATTTGTTCAGTATAAACATAACCACCAGGAGGCAGTGTGACTTCAAGATTAAGCTGCTGTCCCATACACGCACACTCTCTCCAAAGTTTCTTCTATCAACAACAATAATACCTTTGTGCTTTCACCCTGCTTCCCTCTATCTGTAAACTTTGTCCTGGTCTAATGGAAGCATGACTGACTTAAAAGGCCCACAGAGTTCTGTCTTAGGCAAACACAAGAGGAGTTTGTAATCATCAAGTGATTTATTATTTGCAGAGCTAGAACAGACCCAGGTTTAATCCCTGTGTTTCATGTCTCTTTCTTGTTACCAGTGAAGGTGGCTCAAGGCTTTTTTGTGTTACATCAACCCAAAATTAATATTATTGGGATTGTCCATCATGAAACCGTAATGCTGTGAAAGTTGTCATAGGGGATAGGTCTCCAATGTTTTCAACAGTTTAGATTAAAACTAGCTCACCTTCAGGTTCTGATCC